CCCATTTTCAATGGGCAGCTGGGTTCTAATACCCTCCTAACATGTCAGAGCTGCAAGACTTCAGAAAAGCTCATCCTCTTTAGCAGCATGCATGGAAACAGTGGCAAGGTACATTTCACACAAGCAACAGCAGGGAAGGCAGGACTGTCACTCCTCCTGCATGAAAGCCCTTTAGACCAAAGTTTTAAGCAACAAAACAAGTTAACCTTCCAGCAAAACTTTACACAATAAAAAACTCAACCACTGATGTAAAACAGACCCTCTATTTCTGTGCACAGGTGAGTCATGGACACAGATCTCATGCCTGGGTGGAAATTTGACATTGGTTTTACATTGCTGACCTTCCCACTAAGAGCATCGGAGTTGTATGGATAAAAAGCACTACAGGGACAAATTGTAACTTCAATAGTATTATAATCACAGCAGTAAGTCACAACTGATTCACACCAACATGACTGTAAAATCCATTCCTTTAAGTTCCACAGTAAAACAAAAGAGGAAGGTATTGCATATGAAACAGAAGGAATAATGAAACAGAAAGAATATAAAGTTGGGATGATTCAACAGCATTTTTGAATTATAATCACCCATGAAAAAAGTCAGCAAGCAGATTCTCCAAAAAGGAGAACAAAAATCTATGTAGGATAGAAATACCTTGATTTCTAAATGGTGCTTTTTCCCTTTAATTTTGTTTCTCCTTTCAGGTGAATTTTGAAAACTCTCTTAATCTCCTGCTGGATTCCTCTACCAATAAAGTCACTAAAGAGGAATTCATGAAGGATATACAAAAAACTAACGGGGGCATTTACAGAAATCTGCAAACTAGACTATGTAAAACAGCATTACTTCTACATATAAGCCCTTTGTCCACATCCCATGGTTAAAAAGTTTGATGGAAGAAATCAGAACCATTAGAGTAAAAAAATGTTTATCTGTACTTACACCCTTAGGCCAAGCTGCAGCAAATATTGCCCGAAATTCTTCCTGAAAAGCTGACCACTTAACCCACTTTCTGAAAAGACTGAAAACAAGCAAAAAGCCAACAAGCAAAAAAGATTTCAATGGCCTGGTTATGAGAAATTTTCTAAGCTGAGAATATTTAATGCGAATTTGTAGACACTGGCAAGTGGGACTGGAAATGAAGGCAGAGCAAATCAGATTTCTCAGAGAAAAGTCAATTCTCAGATCCCTAAAACTGACAAGGCTTCTTACTTCATTCTCACTCAGAACAGATGTTGCTCCTTTCTGCATTTTTATTTTTTGCCTCATTGTTTGATTTTGAATATTAGCTCCACTGCCAGCCTTCTTCATTCATAATTCATCCCTTACTGACAAGATTGAAGCAAAACCTTTTAAAAGGAGCTAGAGACTTCCTGGTGTTTAGGATATTCAGCTGAGATAAAGTCAGGTTTGAGAAGCAGATCCTACAGTTATTCCATTATTTGCAAAGGAAGATCATTCTACCAGGAGAGACTTCATGTCCAACACAGATGTTTGTCATGATCCACCTAAGGCAGCCCCTGGCACAGTTTGGTTACTCCTGCAAACCCAAGGGCTCCCATGTGTAAATTTCATTGCTTCTCACAAATTTTAAAAATCCAGCTTGGGGCTCAAAAAAGGTAACTTCTGACCATTTGCTACATCAACAGCACTCATTTACCCTCACAGGAATACATTTCATCCCAAGATTGCAATTCTCACTTGCTTTGCTTGCATTTAATAATTGTTACCAGTGCAACTGTATTAGCAAATAACACCTCTGCAAAGTCCTAAAATAAGCAAATCCTCAAACACAATTTTTCCCCATAAGCCTTTTTAAGAAGGGCACTTAGCTCCATCTGCTGGATTTAGACAATTTCTCTTTGATGCTGAAGACCACACAACAGAAATGGATTGCTTTTCACTTATTATACATCTTGTATGTCTAAAACAGAAATCCAAACTGCTGCTAAGTAAATACCTCCCCAAGGGCTTTAAAGGCATCACTCTTCCCTGAAGGTCTATTAATACATCTCATTAATGCCCTTAGGAGCAGCGACACCCAACCTTGGCACACCTGTCTCCAACTTAAAAGTAATTTCTTGTATTTTGCCCTGTTTGCTATGCTAATTATAAACACAGAGACCAGGGGTCACTGAAGCTAGGATGTCCAATCAGATGTAATTAACTATTTCAAACACCTAAGCAAAAATCTCTGGAGGGGAAAAAAAAGCCTGACTAGTAAATATAAACATGATTTTTCAATCTGAACCTGTAATACCATAAAAACCCACCCACTAATAATACTGGTATGTCATGAGAAATTTTATAAATTGGTGTTTTGCAGCTGATGGGAAGCAAATTCTCCTGGTAAAGAAATATCCTTATTTAAAGAAAACATCTTACAATGATTTTAGAGGTTCCTAAATATATATTAGTCATTGTTTCTTCCCTTGGAATGCATTGTTTCAGCTCATTAAATACTTCTAATGGATAGCCAGAATGGGATAGAGATATGTAAAATTTCATTAAAATATATTTTTATAAAGCTATTTACAGTTATAAAATTTTAAATCATAAAAATATTGGGGGAAAAAAAGCATTAAAATATTTTTATCATCTGTCTGTGAATGACTAGAGTAACTAATATATGGCTTACCTGTGTCAATGAACCAATAAGAATTGCATCAATAAAACCTTTAAAAAACCTCAACCAAACAAAAAACCCAAAACAATATACTCAACAAACACTTCTACACTCTATTCTTTTTATAGGCCTTATTCTTACATTATTTTTACAAGTATATTTTCTTTTATCTTAATGAAGCATGGCTAAATTTACACTGGAGTAATTCAAAGCAGAGCAGGGACTGCATGCCTGCAGACTGAGCTCTCTGTGTACTCTGATGGGATTTTGTTCATCTGAGCACAGGTGCAAAATGTTTTTATGGCACAGTAGGTATTTCAGTGGAAAAAGAAAGCCATCTGAAACACTTTGGCTGTCAGTCGCCTACCTTTGGCTGTTTGTTACACTTTCTTTCCCCTGAGCCAGTCACCAGAGGAGACACTGACTTTTCTTACAGTCTCTCCTCCTGAACAAGATATACTGAAACAGCTATTTAGTACACAGAGAGCAAATCCAGGTGAAACAAATGTTTTCCTCTTCCTATACTATACAGAATTTTTAATGCAAAGCAATCTGAGATACAACTATTTTCCAAAAATAGGAGGGGATTTTTTTCTTTTTGCTTGTTTGTTTGGAGGTTATTTTAATTAAAATAAAAATGAAAGTTGTGTGGTTTGTAACTACATTTCAGAAGTCCTTTGCTGCCCCCATGTGTTTCACGGGCAAAGTAACCCTTGAAGTCTACATACAAACCAAAAAAGCTCCTCCAATCAGGATTACTTCTGTTTGAAAACAGCATAGTCTACACAAACAATAACCCAAAAATAGCTGAAAGTTTATGCCTTTTTTATATTAAAGCTAGGTTCGCTTGTTTAAAATTTAATGACTATCTATTAAAAACATGAAAAAATATTCAGCTTGAGATAATCATAATCCTGGAACAACAGATTTCAAGGGCAGCAGGCCAATTTAGAGAGCGTTGATCATGTTAGACTGATTGAAAATCCTAAATTTTTTATGACAACTATGTTTTAAAATAAAGCGTAATTTCAACATCTTTCTGTTGTTTACATTAACTGGCAAAAGAAGTTCTTTCCTGTTCCATTCTGCTGCACCATAGAGAATAAAACCATGTGACTGCTGCATTAAGGCTGCTGCTCCTCCCACAGCCAGTACATCCAAAGCTGTGGTGACCACAGCAAGCTGTCCTTTGACACTCCTGCCAGACCCTACACCCTGCACTTCCCACAAGGGCCTCAGTGCTCAGCCACAGTTTGATGGAATTTGCCTCAGAATTTGGCTGCTGAAGTTCAAACCATCCTTGCAAAGGTTTCAACATTCAGTTCTTATGTCATCCTATTCAGTCCCTATGCTGATCCCAGACCTCAATCTGTCAAGACAAATTTGTAATAAATTGGAATAACATCTCCAGCGCCAATCCTGGGTTTACAGTGATGAACCGTGTCAGAATAACCAATAAAATCTGCCCTTCTAACAAGCTCTTCCATACACTGGCTATAAGCCAGAAATAGCCTTCCCTGTAGCAAAACCGGTGGCAGTTCAGCTAATTCCACGGGAGGAGGGCAGAGGCAAAGCTGGATTGTGATCCCACAGGTTTGTTCCCCAAGCACAGCGCTACCAGGTGTGCTACTGGCACCGCAGGACAGGACACCTGTGTTAACAAGAGGGTACGTGGGGAGAAAGCAGCAGAGAGAACTGAAACGTACAGCAGGTTTAACGCATACAAATATCCTATTTACAGGCACTGCATAAAAATGCCTGGTGATGGAAATTGACTAAGAGGGCGCTATTAAGTCGTAGCGGCCTAATGGAGCTTTTAAACGCTGAACACTGACCTGCCTACCCAAGTACCAGCATGACCAGTCTCTGAGGAAAGTCATGGTTTCTCTCCGTGTGTTCTTTCAGCACCAGCTCTCTCACTGGGACGCAGGGGCTGCGGGCACCGGGCAGCTCTGCACTGCCCGCCCGTGCCTTCCCTTGCTAAAGCCTGTATCCCGCATTGCTGCTGCTTCCCTCTCCTGCTGGCAGCCCAGCTTGCAGGTACCAAGCAGGACCTGACTCAGGTACCAGCCTCTCGGAGAAGGTTTTTATAACCTGGCAAATACCTGAACGCTCAGCATCCCTTCTCCCCTCCCTGGCAGCCCTGCGCGCCTGCCCATCTCCCACATGGGAAACACGGCTGCAAGCACGGCTCTGCCCAGGCGCTGCTGAGCGCTCTCGAGCACAGCTCGGACTGGGCGCCATCCCCCCGAGCCGCCAGGAGAAGGATCCGCAGCAGCGCTCCCAGCCCCGAGCGGCGGTGCGGGACCGGCGGTGCGGGCGGCGGAGCGGGGCGGGCGCTCCTCCATGCCCCGCCCGGGCCCGCCCCGCCCGCCGGCCCCGCGGGAAGCGGCAGCGGGGACAGCCTCCGGCCGCGGGCTGGGGAGGAAACCGGGCTCGACCCCTTTCCCACTCGGAACCAGTCGGACCTCAGCCCCGCGGGCGGGGTGCGTGGCCGGGCCCGCCCCGCCATGGCGCGGCGGCCGATGGCGGTGCTGGCGCTGCTGCTGTGCCTGCTGCGGCCGGGCAGCGCCGCCCTCACGGGCACCCGGCTTCGGGATGGCGGAGGCCGGGAGCGAGGGGGAGCAGCGGCGGCTGCTCTGCGGGTAGGTGTCCCAGCCCGCGCTGGCCTCACCATCCGCACTGCCGGGCTGATGCGGGCTCTGCGGGGCTGGGGCGGGCTCTGCGGGGCTGGGGCAGGCCGGGGCGGGGGCAGGCAGAGCGCCCCTCCCGCAGGCCCGGACGCGGCCCCCCGTGCCGCTCCCGGTGCCACGCCCACGGGTCACCGTCGGGCCGCTGGGGGAGGCCTCTGTGTCATTATGCTGTTCTTTGGGTTCGTGAAGTGATGGGGTTAACTCGTATCTGGAGACACTTTTGCATATCTCTCAACCACAAGATTTTTGTGCTGTCAAAGAAGGACATCAGATGAGTTTGACGCAACTTGTTCTGTTTTGTCTGTTTCATGTCAATTTTTTGCACCTAACAAATGCTTTTTTGGTATCTGTTGGAGTTGAAATTAGCGTAATGGCTTTCCTATTGCTAGGGATGCAGGATGAATTTGAGATTAACAGTCTTGTTATCCAATTTCATGTTTACTGTTACTGACCTTTTTTTTTTCTGCTCTTACAGTTTTGTCCCTGCTGCCAACTCAATAATGCCCACAATTATTTTTTGTATTCCTTCAGGAAAGTGCCAAAAGAATTAGATTATTGAATTCATTATCAAAAGATAATACAACTGCTGTCTATGGAATAAATCAGTTTTCTCATCTGTTTCCTGAAGAGTTCAAAGGTACATTTTCTGGTTTTCTAGTACCTTTTCTGTCATTTTTTAATTCTTTCCCAGAACCTTGTGTTTTTCACACTTACAGATTCTTCCTGTGCTGATAGTCAGCTAATTTACAATGTCTGATACCAAACTGTAAGTACTTCTGGAGGACACAACAATCCTCTTTGTGTTCTGTAGTCTTGCAAGGTTGAATTACCCACAGCCTGAATACGTTCTAGTATTCAGGCAGTTCTGGTTTTCTTTCTTTCTTCTCGCTGCTCTTTAAAGCTTTCTTCAATTACAACAGAAGAAAGGAAGATGATACACAAAGTTCTTCCTTTTTGAAAAAGGAAGATACAGAAGGTTTTGCAGTAAGTTCATATTCCCTACCCCAGCACAAAGTTGACCACAGTCCAAACAAAGCTTGGAGGTCATTGGCTGCATAATGACAGCTGGAGCTTTCACGAGCAACATGACATACTTGCTTTTCTTTTTTCTGGAAAACTCTATAAAACTTCCCTTCTTGCTGTTCATGTCTGTTGTTACATTTTCTATTCATCAGAGGATTTAACATCTTGCTTTAATTTTAAATAACTAAACAACATTTTTTAGTGAAAACCCAGCAACTTTAAGGTGTTTCAGAATTCTTACTTTATTCTCCTCTTATTTTCATCTTGTACATGACTAAAACAAAGTATTTTTTAAGTTAGTAAAATGTTTTGGAAATTTTCAAGTAAAAATTTTTTTTATGGAGTGGTTATGGTTATTGTTCAACTTCAGACCCACATTCCCTACAGAGAGTATTTCTGTTCTTTCTGAAACTGTAGAAATACATTCATTCTGGAACATAATGATTGTTTTAAAATACATGAATTTTCTATGGATTTTAGAATGAAATACAATCTCATGGTTGCAACTGTAGATCCAAGTTACCTCTGAGTTCTAGTAAAGTAGTTGTTAGGGGGATTTTTTTTTTTTTGTTCATAGATTTAAATACATTTATATTCTGTGTTTAGCTATTTACTTGAGAAGCATGCCTCACAAACTTCCCAGATACATAAAAGTGCCAAAGGGGAAGGAAAAGCCTCTGCCAAAGAAGTTTGACTGGAGGGACAAGAAAGTCATTGCAGAAGTGAGAAATCAGCAGACAGTAAGTCCTGGTGTTTTCCCTTCCTGGCTCTCAGCAGTGGGCTGTGGAGCACAGGGAAGGTTTTGCAGGGACCAGCTCTGCCTGGAGGCTCCTTGCAGCGCTGGCACAAGAGTGGCCAGCTGAACAGACACAAAGTCATGTAGCATTTTATGTAGAGAAGTATTGGCTTAAAAGAATGAGGTTTAGGAGTTGTGCCTTTAGAAACTGTAATATTCTTTTTGATCTAGTTAAGTGAATGTCCAAATATTTTGCATCATGTGTGTTTTGTATTTTTCTGAAGGAACCAAGTTCAGTACTTGGTCTCATCCCACCTGGAGAGGTGTAGATCCTTTCCTGTTGTTTTCCTCCCATGACTGAATCCTCTTGGTTGGTCAACACCCACATCCTTACCAGTGAATTCCTCAGAGGATGCTTTCATGATTGGAAAGTGACCAGACCCCACACAATTACAGTTTATCCCAGAGTGGTTATGGTTCCTGTTAAGAAACAAGCTGCTCAGTCCCCAGTGTCTCCTTTCCATGCTTCATGTAGGACATTGTGAAGAATAAATTCTGCTGTTTATTTTAAATGTCACTGTTCAAAGAGCCTGAAATTGCAGTATAGATTGTTATTGTCTAAGATTTTTTTCTATTATGCTTAATTTCACTTTACCATTTCTTAAACTCTAATCTGCTTGTACAAAATTCTAGAAAAACTTACTAATGTGGTTAAAAACTGATTTCACTTTTTTTTTGGAAAATAGATATCTCACAGTAAAAGCATCCTCAGACCTATCATCAGAACAAAAATTCATGAGGAAAGAGTCTTTAAAAAAACATCCATAATGCATTTCTAGCATTCAGAGAGCAATATAGGGGGGGAAACAGTTCAGCATTTTAAACTGATGATAACATTTCTTTTTAATTGCCTTAAAAGCAGAATTCAAGGATGATGTATTAAATGAAGAGCATTGGAAGACTCTTGCCTCTTTTTTTCATACCAGGCTTCGAAACCAAAGCTGACTTCTGCTTTCTCTGCCATTTCCCTTTTGTCTCTCTCAGTGTGGAGGCTGCTGGGCTTTCAGCGTGGTGGGTGGCATAGAGTCTGCCTATGCAATTAAAAGAAACACCCTGGAAGAGCTCAGTGTGCAGCAAGTTATTGACTGCTCATACAATAACTACGGCTGCGGCGGGGGATCCACCGTTAGTGCTTTGAGCTGGCTGAACCAGGTTTGAAACTCTTTGTAAATATCCCAAAAGGCTTCATCAGGTTCTCTATTAGCATTCCTATTTATTGGAAAAATACTGATGGGGAAGGTGAAATGTGCATGGAGTTTTTTTAGTCATATATGTATGTACATATATGCATACACATATGTGCTTGTGTATATGTATATATGCTTATTTATTTAGTTTGGAACCAGGTGAGAATTAGTTCAAGCAGAATTCAGATTTGATTGAAATTTTATGGTCTATATATGTTCTCATGAACGTAACAAATCAATCCACAGGGGCTGAAAACAATGTTCCTGAATTAATTTGCAGGCATACAGTACCAGTGTAGACAGAGCCACCTATGCATATGGCATTTTGTGGATTTAAAGCCCCAGCATCTGGGGAAAAGAAGGAATCCTGACATTTTCTGCTTTAAATTTCAGTAGTTTCCCTTGCAAACACTGTAAAATTATGTACAAGTGTATGTGGAAAACCTCAGAATAAAATGAACTGCATTTACCTTTTGTTTCCCTTGAAGACCAGGACATTGAAAATGCATTCAAAGTTTCTACTTCAATTGTTGCTAAAATATTTCATTTCATTAAAAATTCAAAATGTGTGTTAATAACATGGGTACACAGAAACATTTTAATATCTTTAAAATAAAAATACACTCTCAGATTGAATTACAAAAATATGAAAAGAGTTCTTTCTTTTTTTGAATTAAAAAAACCTCAGACTTTAAGAAAGCATAATTCTACCCCTATAGAGTAATATACCCATGGCTAATAACAGTCTAGATAACTTGTATAAGTTTGAATATCAAGAACAACAGAGGATACTCACCTTTTATTCCTCTGAAAGAACATTCCGTCTTGGCTGCAGAGGAACCACAAATGAGTTAGGCAGAAGAAGTCACTGTCATAAATATGCTGTACTCCAGAAGACATGAAAAGCATGAAAGGCTGATGCATATGTCATGTATTAGCATGAGAATTACATGCTAAGAACAGAATTGGACTTTACAGTATTTTATATAACTTTTTGGGATATTTTCCTTCTTTAACCATCCCAAGGAGAATATAATTTTGTATGTGGAAGTCATTTGAGGAGAATTAATAGCTCATGAATGAACATCTGTGTCTTGAAATTGACAGAATTGCTTATGAGGATAGTTTAAACCAGAGATGCCTTTTAAATTTAGTTTCTTATTTAAAGATTTCTGAATCCCTGCTGAAGCTCAGTGGACAAGGAAACTAGAGCTAGTAAATAGTTATTTCACAACGTGACATTCTTACTTCTAATCTTGCCCAGTACACACTGAATTTTGAGTGGGTTATGTGGTCATTCTCCATATGTTTTGAGGTGCATAGAAGAAAAGTCAAATACATTAATTTCTTGCTCCATTACCTTCTTGCAGACCAAAGTAAAACTCGTGAGAGATTCAGAGTACACTTTCAAAGCTCAGACAGGACTGTGCCATTATTTTGAGCGCTCAGATTTTGGAGTTTCAATAACAGGATTTGCTGCATATGACTTCAGGTAGCTTTTATTCATTCTTTTCTTTCACTGTCCTTTTCCTTCTGTGAACAGCAGTCATGGAGTTAGGTGGAGTGAACAGTGCATTGACCAGGCAAAGGATGTGAGGTTGATTGCATCAGTTCTGTAGCTGTGTGCTGGAGAAGGATTAATGCATAACATCTTTGAGAGTTAAGGCTTGCCACAATGAATCCGCTCAACACTGCCATCATTAAGCCTGTTCAAATGAGAAGGCTTGAAGTTGGGTCTTTTAAATTGGCTATAAACTGGAACATAGTCAGTTACAGTTTTTAATATATGAACATTACGCTGCTTTTGTCAGAAACAGCAAATCCTACCAATAGTAAGTGGAATTTATTGAAAAAAATAGGAAGCATTCAACTACTTCAGTATTTGTGCATTTACATATCTACCCACATCCTCTCCAGCCCATGACTTTAGAAAGTGTTGCCAGATGAACTCTGTAAAAACTTCAGCTTTTTAGGTTTCTGTGTGAATAAACTTCATTTCTGTTTTTTATCAGTACAGTACAACTACTGAATAAAAGCAAGAAGTATTATTCTGACTAGGAATTGTGTTACTTCTAGCTATAAGTAACCAAAACCAGTCATGTCTTTGCCAGTCTGTATTTGCCAAATTCAGCTAATGAACATATTTTTAGTGATGAAAATTTCCTGCTCCAGATAAATAAAACTCTGTGAGCGTGCTAATGATAAATGTCTGATAGTGGAAATGTCCTGTGTTTTGATATGTTTGAGATGCATACTTTAGTGTATTATTAGGTAAAGAGGTACTTCTGTAGGTTTAAAAAACAATGGGAAATTCTAATACAGACTAATGGTTTGTTCAAAGCTTGTTTTGATTGAGAAGAGTGATGTACAAAAAGTATGAAGTGCTCTCCACTGCCACTGGCTTGACCTAGAAACCTTCTGCTATTTAATAGTGTTATGTGTTTGGATCTACACCCATCCCATAGTTTGTGTGTCCTGTATTTGTATCACTGTGTTGTAGTATATGAAATATATAATTACTGGTGTGTGATATGTAGAACTTGGAGGAAAGAGTTTAATTATTTGACTTTTCAACTGTTCTTAACAAGTAGATTACAATCACTCTAATCACTTTAGTGATTAGCTAACTTAAGTAACTTGGTATTTTTACTCACTTCTTTTGCAGTGGTCAAGAGGAGGAGATGATGAGGGTGCTTGTCAGCTGGGGCCCTTTGGCAGTGACAGTCGATGCCATTAGCTGGCAGGATTATCTCGGTGGAATCATACAATATCACTGCTCCAGTGGAAGAGCAAACCATGCTGTTCTTATCACTGGTTTTGACAGAACAGGTGCGTTTCCACCAGCTGAACTTCAGCACAGTAGGTTTCTTTGACTTGCAACTTGTCTTTTGTGGGATAAGTGATTAAAATCCAGAAGTCGGTTTTCTGTTGGAAGCTCTTGGGTTTGATGTCACTTCAGTCCTGGAAGTTCTGTGAAGATCACATCATCTTCACATCAGCCAGAAGAAAAACTCTTTTTGTCATTTCTTTTTCAGTTCTGTAGGACTTCATCCTTGTAAAGCCAAGACCATGGCTGTATGTGTCTTTATGCTAGAAGAGCCCATATCGAGTCTTCCCATACCAGAATATTAGCTCTGTTATCTATATGAACAGCAGTAGGTTTCACTGGCCTGTATCATCCGTCCATCAGAAGCTGGTTGAGATTCTGAAATGCTAATTAACTCTGTGGCGTGTTAGGAGGCTAAAACTTTCCAACTCTCATGTTGTCTCTTGTTCATGAAATGTCTCTTCCAGGTAGCATTCCTTACTGGATTGTACAGAACTCTTGGGGGCCGACGTGGGGAATAGATGGCTACGTTCGTGTTAAGATGGGCGGCAATGTCTGTGGTAAGTCTGGTAAAAAGTAAGTGCTAAAGGCCATGGTCTGGGATATATTTTCCAATAGCTATAAAAATTAATTATCACTTTAATATAATATATATAATAAAAATATAATGGGATCCTCAGAGAGGCAGTACAATCATTGCTATGCTTTAAAAGAGGTTAAATGAGTCCAGATGGAAAAATAAATGAAGTGGTTGCTAGTTCAACCAAGGCATGTAGTTGAATGATTGAAAAGGACCATGTAAAGTCAAAGCTGTATAAAACAAAACAAATAGTCAAAGTACTCTTGTCCCTTACCATGCAGAGGTAATGGCACTGTAAAATATCCAGTAATGTGTGATCCTTGTAGGTGAGTGCCATCGCTGTAGTCCCTGTAGGTAAAACAGCTGCTGTCCTTGTCTGGTGGGTGCCAGTATCTCTGGGCTCAGTTTAACAAACAAATATGAAAAACTGATCTACCTGGGAATTGTGTACCCTGCTTGTGGCTTTTCTTGTAGGACAGAGATATATCCTTTCAGTGCTAGTTCGATCTCCTGCCTCATTGTTGTTTGCATGAATTTTTTCTTTGTATTTGAGGGATTCCTGTAGCATTAAATACCCAGTTTCTTCTAGACATGGAGGTAAGGCAAGTCAAGCTCTGGTTTATCATCAGATTGCTGAGCCAAATTGATGGGGTGGTTCCACTAGATAAGAAGTGTTGTGTATCTGCGGTAATTTTATGTGTTAGAGTAACCCATTGGCTTTCCCTTCCATGTGTGTTTCACAGCAGCCCTCAATCATTGCAGGAGGTGTTGGATTACCTAAATCTTCTGCACATAAAGAATAGACAATATTCAGTTTGCCTGCACTTAGTAAAGATCAGAGCAATGTATCCAATCATAGCTTTCTCATGTTACTGAATCTTTGTTCTTACTGTTGTTGTATAAATAGTTTGGAAAGAGAAATTTAGAAGTAGTGATACAGCAAATCAATTGTAGACATGGCAGGGAGAACAGATGTGTTATTTGCAAAAAGCAGGATCTTTCACATTTTCTGTAGTGTACCACACAAGAACAATCCAGCAAAGACAGTAGTTCCTCCTTTTCCCACAGAGATGTTGTCTTCTGATTTAGAGGTGCTCTGAAACCACCAGGATATAAAATTTTGAACATAAAAGCAGAGGAAGGAGGAGATTAGGTTTCAGTTATACACAGTGCCAGGAGAGGAAGAAAAAAAGGGTTGCAGATGATTCCCTGGATTCTTACTGTCCTGGCTTGGAGGGGAGAGGGCATTATATGAACATGAATTTTGGGAAGTGTCCACCTCAGTATTTATTAAAACCAAATTTTATGTCATTTCTAGGTATAGCAGATACAGTCTCAGCAGTATTTGTTTGACATTCCTGTGAGCCTCTACAACTGGTCAAAGACCACAAGTATCATGAGGACAGACACTGTATATGAAGGTGGAATTCAAAAAACCATTTTCAAATATAAGAAATGGCTGTAAGGGCAATTCCTGCAATTCCTAGCTGAAGTTTTTAAAAATGTTTTTATTTTGAATTTGTGTTGAATGCCAAATTTCTCATGGATTAAGAAGACTGATTTGCAGAGTGCACAAAGAGAAGCTACAAAGATGGACTGAAGCCTCAAATGGAAGCTTTATCCAGGTGTTGAATACTACTCCATAGAAAAATCTTAAAAGGAAAGAAATTATGACAAATAAGAAGGAATTTGAATCAAAAAATCAATACTATAAGAGTATATTTGAAATCATTTGAGTATAAGAAGAATCATGAGTAACAGTTTAGAAAGTCAGCAATTACAGAATATATCCAATAGAGTGAGTGTTAAATTTCCCTTATTACTTGAATTCAGACCTGCAACTTGCTGGTAATAAAAACGTGTTCCAGCTTTGCTGAGCTGTGAAACTGCAGCTGTGGGCAAATGTAACTAGAACTCACAATGAAACATGTAATTCTAAAATGCTCTGAATTTTTGACTTCAAATGCTTTACCTGTATCTTTTAAGAAGGCCTACCATGAAAAGTATTAAAGAAATTCTGTAATTTTTTGCACTCAATTATTGTACCATGTTTTTAGATTACTTTTTTATAACTTTTATGACAAGTGCAACAAATGTTTATAATTGTATATTGTTAAGTGATGCTGGTTTATTCCTTCTAATTGTTAATATTTTAAATGAAAGAAGACCAAGTGTGATGTTTCTTTACTTCAGGTTTTGCTACTTACTGAATTTACTTGGCTGAAAACTTCAGTTTTAAAAAATGTGAAGTCTTCTATACTCTTGAGTGTTGTGTAGTCTGGCCTTCCCTGAGTGGCTTACAAACAAAGATAGCACTCTTTCATAACTGGAAAACAAAGTCTCTAATGGGCACAGATAGCAGTAATGTAGTCACAGCGATATGAAACACAGATGTGCCTCCAGTGTTTTTGAGGTGCTACTGACAGTACTGAAGTACTGTGGTAGAGAGAACTTAGCAGAAATTCCAGCCTACAGTGTTTGTGTCTTTCCAAAGGGAGCACTTAAAAAACCAAAAGTCCATTTTATAAGATGGCAGTGCTTTATCAGTATTCTATAGCCAAAGTTGCCTTTTATTGTATACCACTTTGAATAAAAATCACTTTAAATGCCTGTCATACTCTTGTTTGAACTTTATAGTTTGTTTTAAAAGGAGACTTAACAAAAGATGAGCTTTAATACTGCTTTATTTGGAATGCAAAGTAAGTACTTATATGCTATTTTTAACAGTATTTCTGTGTAAGGAATTTACATTCACATGTAGAGATAGCAACATGATTCTTGATGTATTATAAGTTCAGAATGGTTTGGTGTCTGTAGATTCAGGACTTACTTTTTGAATGTAGCTTTTGAAACTTGTAACCCAAAATTCCTTTTGAAATTGCACTAGAGCTCAGAAACTAATATTCTTCTGAAGGTGATGAGATTGATTATCCTTAACTAGTCATATCCTAGTTATCCTTAACTAGTCATAAATTAGTAGCAGCCATTAGGCAAACAAGCAAATACAAAAATATGTACAAATAAGTCATGATCATAGTAACTGTGTGTAATTTTCTCCCTTTCTCTAGGCGCAGGCTTTAAGAAGCCAGCCAGGGGTAAAATTTGCCCTTGGTTGAATTGGGGGTATCATTTTACTCTTAATATAGGCTAACTCAATACAGATTTATTTTCTCTACAAGCAATTAACTTCTTCCACAGGACAATTGTACTATTCACAAAACTGTCATACATAAATACATATTTACACACCCACAATCTTGGTGGGAATGGCTGGGAGCACCACTGAAGGTGAAAGTAAGGAGGTTGTTTACAGCAACATCCTAGAAAGGCAGGTTAGTCAGAGTCATCACTGCTGAAGTAGGAGCTGTCACAGTATTCTGCTGTGTAAAGGAATTTATGAATGCTTGGGTTCATCTTTGGTATCCAGTGTCTTGGCACTAGAAATGTTGAAAGATTGAACAAATCCACAAACACCTTGTATCTGTCACTGAAAAAGACAATTGGAACAATATTTCCATCAGCATAGAAGGCCATAATTTCTATATCCTCAGTAATCATTCCTTCTCATGCAAATAACAAGATTCCTTGCACCAACGCTCCAGAATATTGCAGAGCAAGAATCCAGTCCTGACTTCCTAGGGCATAGAAGATTAGGCTTAATAGGGATCTATAGCAACATCTTCTGAAAATGCAGAGTCCATAGAGTGTGATCTCTAGCAGAATTTATCTAGGAACAATAATGTTAACCTGGCATTAAGGTGGAGTGGGAGAGCTTTCTAAGAAGGACCATGGGCATTCAATCCTCAACATCAGTCTAACATCTGCTTTCTGCTCTGCCCTCTGTTCCATTGGTTGTGATAGGAGTTGCTCACAGCTCTACATTGTGGTTCACAGCTCTTTGAGAGCAAACCTCAAAGAAGATCCTCGTTTAAGGAGGTTGTGCAATTAGAGGTCATGCTAGGGAATAAAGAAACTCTGTCACACAGTAGCTGGGGCTCACTTCCAGCCTGTATCACCTCCTTAACTTGGGCTAGCTGGCACACCAGCTGAACAATGCAGGGTTCATATTATTGCTATCACTGTAACGCTCTGACTGAGAATTACAGATGGCATGAGTGATCAAAAGGGACTTTTTTGCCTTAGAAGGCTTGGAATTTATATGTCACTGATAAATAAATGTACAACAACCAAGGGAGATGTGCTGGAGTCCCAGAAGAGAGTCAGCAGCCCTCTGGCCTCCAGTCAGCCATCTGAATTATGTCTCCTAGCATTAGAGTGTTTATGAGCTGCATTGTTGCAGGTGCAGGGGAAGCACGTTATTTGTACCTCACTGTGGAACGCAAGTAGTGATAGCCTGATGAGCCTCCAGTGCCAGCCTTGCCACCAATCATTCTGTGCACCAAGCAGACGTGGTTATCTAAATGATACAACAGGAGAAAATAGCACATGTTCAGTATTCAAATAAAATACAGGGTCACATTTATTGAAGGTCATTCAGAGATCTTTACAGGGATACAGAACTCTTAGGTGTTCAGCAATGCAGGAGTTAATTCTGCCATTCTTAAGTCAATTATATAAAATTATTGTTAATTCAGAATGAACACACTAACTATTACACATTACTATGCTCTGTGAATACAGAATTACACATTCACTTATGTATAGATATGGAAGGAGGCAGAAGGAATGTTTGCATATAAAGACATGATGTTGTGACTTTTTGGGATACATTGAAAAATAGATACTTGTCCCTAGATAAGATAGTACACTTAAAGCAGGTCAGAGAAGTGATAGCTATACCTATGTACCTAATGATCACAGAAGCATCTCTTTATCTTCCCTCTTGGCTGAAGTACAAACATTAAGAGTCATTCCTAATGCATGAACTCCAAAGCTCAATTCTAAGACTAGGTATAACTCAGAGACAGAACAATTTATTTGCATCTACAAGAGGGAGTGTCACAGTCAAAAAAGTCAGACTTACATCTCCATTTAGTCATGAGCACATCGAGATCCATAAGGGAGGTAAGAAGCTGAAATGGAACCTGGAAACGAGGCTCCTCCCTTGGAAAATGAAAGAGAGGACAGTGAGACCTCTCAGCATAAGCTTTATTTTTCAAAGTTGCATTTCACCAGTGCTTAGTGACTTAAAACTTGCTTTTCCTAAATTGGTACTGGAATATCACCAGATATTTTAACAAAAGCTGCTGCTGTGTACGTCTTCATCTGTCCCTTTATTTTTGAACTTGGAAATGGACTCCAGATCTTTTTAGGACAGGTAGAACAAGGCATTTACTAGTTACAATCTGAGGAGCAGCACCTGGTCAAGCTGCCCAGAGGGGATGTGCAACCTCCCATCCTTGAAGATATTCAGAACTCATCAGGACATGGCCCTGAGCAGCCTGGTCTGACCTTTGAGCTGCTTCTGACTAATCAGGGTTCCTGTGGAGGGCTGAAATAGATTCCTTCCCACAGCCCATTCCAGCCTAACTAAGCCTGTGCTGCTGTTCTTAACCTTCCCCTGTCCTCCTGCCAGTCACCATCAAAGACACAACATCACCTGTAGAAGTAGATCATCAAGGCCCCCTTCAGTGCTTTGTAGGACAGTCTCCTCTCCCCTGCAAAATACAAGTGTCCTCAGTTGGCTGCTCATTCTCCTGCAACTTCAATGCTACAACAAGCATTTATAAATAACGTGTAAAACATACAAAGTACATATTCACATATGGTAATAAAATCTACCTTTACTGAGCAGATGTTCATGGCGTTTTTCATCAAACAATGAAAGTAATATGTCTCTCTGCTTTTGAAATTCAGACAGTAAGTCATCTTTTTCTTCTGATTCTGCTTTGGCCTTTGGTATTTAAAACAAAGACAAGCTTTAGAATTCAACAGGGAAAATTAAGCACTTGAATGACTCATTTTGCAATTTTTATTTAAATAAATACTCTAAAGTTTGAATCTTAGATGTAAGAACTGTATTTTCAAATAAGATACATGAGTCACTGTCCTTTGAAAAGTGCAATTACCAAGAAATGTACAATTAAATAGATTCCAACACAACCCAGATAAATGAATATTCAAACAAACTGGCAATTTATTGCACTTCTTGGTGTAGAGGCTTTAAAAAGTTAATTGTAATTTGTTTGAAGTCTGATTTATTTGTTTTCAAGGCAAAAAAGTTACATCTCTACAGAGCAGGGGCCAAGAAAATTGTAAATAAAAAGTTTAGATAAGTTAGAAAGACATAAACAGATATTCTCAGGAAGTTGATAAATTTTTTTTTCATTAAAAATGAAAATATTAAAAAATGTTATTTAAAGCTGCAGGTCTTGAAATCATCAGGGATTTTCTGATGCTTATTTGCCATTGCAATACAAATGATCACATAGCAGCAAATTGCCATATACTGTTAAACAGAAATGGGCTCTTAATGGGACATTCCATATCCACAGCTCAGGAGCCCAAACTTCATATTCACTTTATATTGTAGATGCAAGTACTAATTAATGGTGAAGTTGTAGTTTCAGTAAAATCAAATTCAGCCCTTCCATTGATACTAATCCATCCCTTTTGCAATCCTGATCATCCATGTACCTCATGCTTTAAATCATCTTAGACATCAAATTAAAAAAATATTCCTATTTCCTGAAGAATTTGCATTTTTTTCTGCTTCTTGCAGAAAAAGACTGATGAGGATTAAGTGAAGTGAGTGAGAAACTTTGAATAAGCCAAAAGTTAAATTTATGTCACAATACCATTTTGCCAGATGTCTTTGCCTATTGTTAGTTCAAGAGTAAACTATATACCTGTATCAAGGCAAATTCCTCTTCTAGGCCTTTTAAAACATTCTCTTCAAATTGTCCCCAGAAATCAAATTCTTCTGAGTCAAGTCCCGGAGTTCTTTCCAGCCATGCCTTTAATAATAATAGCAGTAGTGGTAGTAATGATAATATATTCAAACAATAGCAATGCAACTGCATTATCCTGGAATTACAAGTTATAGCAACATAAATTCTACTGCTACAATTCTGCTTTAGCAATAAGCACTTCTACAGTATCCTGCAGAAGTGCTTAGTGCTAAATTCAGCATGTCCATGTGGATGATTTACACCTGCCATACCATAATGGTGCCATACCAGCCCCCTCAGGTTCCAGGTTGCCTGGACAATGTTGGAAGACAGAAGCTGTCTCATATTCATCTTTAAAGCAAACTACAGAAAAACAAACCTTATTCCACATGTATATAAGAGAAGAGTAATGATAAGTCTCAGAAGGAAGACAGAGCCATCTATTGTTTTTAACCTCTCTAACAGCCATCACTAACAGTGGGACTATTTTTAAAATTTTCCTCCCAAAAGGGCTTATAGTCACAAAAAGCAATGCAAGTGAAACAGTGCATCTACATTCTTATCCCACACTTCCACAATGCTATTTACCAGTTTAACAGCCAGAATTTTCAGATGAAAGCAAGATGCTGTGAAAAACCAGTTGGTTTACTAACAATTAACTCTCTTTCATGCCCAATTTGTCAAGAATCCAAAACACGATTGACAGAGAATTTGCCAACATGCTTGTTTCTCTTAAGGTAGGAGAATTCGTCTCTGACACTAATGAAGGACATTCTTGGGAGATGGGGAAAATGAGGCAAGGTCCAAGACAGACATTGTTACCTCCACAAGTTGCAGTAGTGTTGGTTCTTGCTCTGATTGAAGCAGCAGTTCATGATCCTGTCCCTTGAAGTTATCACGGTAATGCCTTCTGTTATAAGGCACTCTCAGGCTTTGGGGAACTCCAATCTTGTTCTCCAGCAAGCGAAACTGCAGGCTCTGAAACCCTGAGGCTGGGCTTAGGTAGTACCTTTGGGAAAAGAAGAAAAGATACAAAAATACAGGGTGTTATTTTACAATGGTGGATTTTTCTTGTTCTCTAAAAATCCCCCATATTTCACATCTGAAGAATATCAAATAGCTATCTGAGGACTTTTTTATATGACTGCACTTAGGAAAAGGAAAAAAAAAACAAGCAATTTTAATGCAAATACAGTGCAATTATGATCTCATTTTCTAGTTCTATATTGTTTGTGCATACACAGGTAGTGCAAACGTAAACCGTGTGAATTTGTGCTTTAAAAGGGCAGCTTTGTGCATGTGATGTACAGGAGGCAATGTCAGTGAATAGAATTTCCTTTCCAAATAGACTAAGCAGCTGCACCCCAAAAAGCTATTACAAAAATTGTCACAGCAACAACATGCCATTTTAAATAGTCTTGATACACAATATAATTCCTATATATTATTATGTATAATAGTCCATACATGCAATATATATATATGCAATATTGTATATTGCCTTATTCTATAGAGTAGAATAATGCTCAAAAGAACTCCAGTGGAGTTTTTTTTTGAAGGATTCATTAATGGGAATCTTAAGAGTTAAGTCATCTGACCATGCTGAAAAACAATTACTTATATAAGCAACCTGAAATCCCACATTGCTAGATAATTGTAATGCATTTTGAATTGTGAGTACAAGCTTTGACAGTGACACATCATTGATTTAGTCTTATGCTTACTTATCAAATGAGTGTGTGGCTGAAAAGCTGAAGAAGGTATAGATCAAAATGGATGATTAGCCCATGGATTTCCCCTGCTGTAGGGTAATGCTCAATTCAAACAAGTGAAGAAAATTCATAGTTTCCTGCTCTTTTCAATAGGGGACATTAAAAGATAGAAGGGAAAGGCTGCCAAAATACAAAAGCGAATGGGATGCTGGATGGTACTGAGGTCACAAGGCAGGCAGATATGCACAAGTGACACAAGCAGGAGAAGAATAGGGAAGGGAGACTATGGATGAAGCTGTAACATGTGGCAGTGTGGTGACCGGGCCTAGATGTAGAGAGGGAAGAGAACGAAATGTGAGAGGTGAGATAAGCCAAAGGATCCAGAGAAAGCCTGAGCAGAAGGCAGAAGAGGTACAACCACTCAGCCCAGCAATGCACTGAGCTGCTACTGGGCAGCAGAAGTTATTGGGGAAAAGGACAAGGGGCAGCAATGCTTCCTTCAGCCTCCAGCACTGCAGACCCAAGGCAGCACCATGCAAACCAAGACAGCTGAAATACCTGTTTGATAATCTAGGGAGAGTGCATGTCTCTCCCCCAAGCTCTTCTATGATTTGCCATGGAGCAAGTCTTCAATCTGCAGTGCAAAGTTTCAACTAAATTGCTATCAGAACCGTGAGCTATTTCTCTTGTTTCTGCTGTTTTAACTTTTGACCCTGAAACCAGTCAGCAGCACCCTACACAAAAGAGTCAACAATTCACTTGTACTTCTTTCCAGAACATGCTGGACTCACAGTCAGGGTCAATTTCATAACTGACCCTTGCACTTTAATGTCATGTTTGCCTCTCCAAGGTGAGCTCTCAGCCTACTGACAGACACCAGCACACATGCAAAATTCACAATCCGTTCTAAGGGTGGGAATTACCAGCTCCTGGATTGCTGTGGAGGAATAGTAAGTCTTTACCTGAAATCAAAGAAGTCTAATGCAGTCATAGTTTCCAAAACTGAGAACTGTTCCACAAGTAATTTCAGAATCAGTGAAATTCTGTTCATTCGAGTAATAACCTTCAGCATGTTCCTCTCATCTCTTACCTGTAAAAAAAAAAATAAAGATCATAGCCAGAATGGTGTTTGGTCTAGATCCTACATAGCTGTTTCATGTCTTTTCACTGTTGTACATCACTGTAGTTCCCAAGTCCTTCCCATATGAAATACATAGAGGCAGAATCTCATATGGAGCAGAGCATTCTGGTTTTAACTTAAAACTGAAACTAAGTTTCAAAGATTGAAATCTATTTTTTTCTGACTGATGCTACATTATAGGTAGGCCTATCATAGAGGGTTTTCTTTATTTTTCTTTTCTATGCTTTTGACTAAAATAGAAGTCAAAGAAATTAAATTATAAAAATAAATTATAATTTCCAATATCTGCAATATTGGAAATTATAATTATTATATTATTTATAATATATAATATATAATTATATATAATGTAATTATATATATTATAATATATATATTATATAATATATAATAATGTAATAGAATATATAATTATTATATTATTGTAATAATTTATTTTTATAATAATATTGTAACTTAATATTCTATATATGAAAATTATATACTTTCTGTTATAATTACTTCTAGAATAATTTCTATTTTTGCTCCATTCTGCAAGCCATAAGGCAGTTAAAGAAATTACTTTGAACTTGAGAAGCTAAATAATCTGAAAGCTACATCAGGAGAGCACATCTAAAACATGTTCATCAGAAATGTGCATTAGCAAGCAGAGAAGAAGAGAAAAGACTCCATCTGGTGGGAAATAGATAATATTAAATGGAAAGCACAGAAGTTCTTTTTTTCACTAAATTAAACACTCTGCCTGCAGAGTAGTCTGCTAAAATTCTGTTCAGTTTCAACGGGATTTAACTTCTCTCTGAAATCTGGGCATGCAACCAGGAAATATCAAACTACAAAAAATGGCAGATGATATTTATTTCCCTAATTGCTTGGCTGTGTATTTGACCTTAACATTGACATTTCAATTTCTGATCACAAGTAAGGCTTCATTTTTCAAAAAAAAAAAATTCTTCTTAAGAACTGGTTATGGTAAGTTACAATTTGATAAAATATTAAACTAAAACACCAATGAAATTAGGAATATAGTGGACAACAGAGAACATTTTCATTGGACCTTGAAAAGAAAGTTCCTTCTTTCAATCTGGTCTAGTTTCAAATCTTCTGCTAAGACATGCTAAAGACATACTCAATGTATTTCTCAAACTGCATGCTGTCAGATTTTTCTGTGGATGTAGTATCAATTCAAGAGTTTTCCTTTCTTACCTACTGTTATAATGTCTGCTTAGCTTTGGACAAATGTGAAGAGTTGCTTATGTTTGTAATTTTCAGAAATTCTTGCACAGTATTACGCTGCTTTGGATTACTGCTTCTCTGTTGGATTTACTATTACACAATCACAAAAATGAGTTCTCCTCACAGCAGATATTGCATGGAAGGAGACAGTAGGTAAACTTCATAAACTGAACAAAGGCAGAAATTACTTTTCAACCTAAAAATACCTGTAAGCCTTCTGCTTTTTGGTTTTGCCTCTGAGCCTGCCTTTTCTCCAGTAGATATTTCCAACTTAAGTTTCTACAGTTACCCAGCACTAGCAAGAGAGTATGAGAGTGTTTTGGCCAATGAAATTGGCCCTGGAAGGTGATCTACACAAAAGGCATACTTCAGGAGGAAGTAAAATTTTGCTGATCAAAAATCTGTACTATCAGGATATAAGAGCCACTCAGCCAAATTTCATTTGGTCTTTTGATGCCGTTTCTAAAAGGAGCATATGCTGCTTTAGTAAACCCAAGTATATCAGACAGAGGCAGAAAGCAAGAGAAAATCAGGGCTGAATTTTCCCAAAATTCATATTTGTTTTAACTTACATGACCATTTTGAAAGATCACTCGCACAGAGTCCATTTCCCACAAAATCTGTTTAAACCAAAGTTCATATGCTACAACAAGAAAGACAGTGTTAGCATCAACTCCAAGGTTACTTTTTCTTCTTATCACCAAGGAAAAAAAGTTTTTACATGTTGATTTGAAATTAGTAGCCTACATTGACACAGCCAGTGCAAAAGAAGATACACATAAATTTATTACTTGTTACAGTATTCTGTCCTTTACCTGAAGCATTAGGCAAAATAAATCTAGAGTCGAGAATACTGAACAAAGTTTTTTAAAATATGTTTTACACATCAGACATTTCATCTGCAGATTGCTCATTACAAAAAGAGGAAAGAGAAAATCCAGATCTGATACTTCAATAGAATCTAACTCAACACCTGCTTACAAACTACATGTTTTCTGTCAGTAACAGAAAATATCATCATGCCAGGGTCTGAAAAAAAGGAAGATGTGAGCATTAGGGAGTACCTAACTGGTGTGCTGATTTCTAGACAGCTTCTAGATGGCTAAAACTGGAATTTCAGAGAAGGCACAAGGCAACACCCAAAATTTGCCTACAATAACTTGCATAGCAGCCTGTTGCTTGGATGACCCCAAGGTTTTCACCATCTTAATTTCTGTAAAAACAGAACCATCCATATCTTGGTTTACCAAATCCAAAGGTTATACTTATGGCTTCACAAGCAAAGAGTTGATTACTGCCTTAGAATTTGTATATGAATACATGCACATATAAAAACAGATAAAACACAGACATATTGCTGTGCCAGTGTCTGAAATGAAAAGAAAAAGGTTCATTGCATGTGTCAGCACCAATTAATTCTCTGTGACAAAAATATTGGCTAAGTAAACCACCACTGCACCCCTCCACTTACCTTGATGTGTCACAATGAAAAGATGCTCATCATGGATTTTTTTCCCTTTCTTCTCACTCTCAAGTTCTTGAGCATTCAATATTTTGTTCAGCTTAAAAATAAAGGTAAAAATAAAGGTAAGAACTGTTCTGTAAAGCTCTGCTATCAGTAATGGTAGTGTTACTGCATACAGCTAATTTTTAAGAACAATATTTTTAAAAATACATATAGAGACCTCACGCTCTAGGTTGTATGAGAAATTTGACTAAATTGTCTCAGGTATGACTTTTACTTTTTAGTTAGAAAAAATCTTGCCTGAAATGGAACATTTAGGTACCTCAAGTAATAAAGTTTTGACAATAATTTAAAGGGTAATTTTAATTACATAAATATATGTATGCATAGTTTAAAAAATAGAGAAAACAAAATATCCAGCATGTTTTCCAGATTTTAGATCTATACTGTCCTGTCCCATGAAAACAGAGTTCCTATAGTAAAATTCTTAGTAATCATGCAACAACATCTGCATAAGAGTACTGAGTTGAGGCAGTAATAATTACTTAAGTTCAGACATTATTATATGTTTTTCTTAGTCAAATTTACAATCTAATCATAGCTGTTTTCAAATTAATCTTTGCAAAATTCTAAAGAGTATGTCAACAAATCAAAGTTAACATACTCTTACTTTAGTTCAAAAGAAGAGTAATTCCCTTCAGTTCACGCTGTCTAAAAAATAAAAACCCAAAAGAACTTCTGGATTCTTTTACTATCTATGGTACTTTATTTGTACTTATTTCTTAATTACTTCTAGCTTTTGCAGAAAAGGATTTTTTTTTGGGGGGGGGGGGTTCTTTTGTGTTCCCCCCTAGTCATCATCCTACCCCCTAGATTTACCCTACCCCTGAAATAGATTTTTCCAGCCAAGTGTTCTGGATGTTCAAGGACATTGCGCAGATCCTGCTGACGTGCAGAAATTGCTGACCAAAGAAAGCTTTTAGTGGTGTGTCACTTTACAGTTTGCCAACATGGATAATTCCCTACCAACCCCCACAAAATATCTGTATTCCTTGCAGTTTGAGAGCCCACCTTGAGGTCCAGGTGAGATGGGCACCTGTGCCTGCTACACCTGGAGATGTGTCTCAGTCAGTGACTGACTGCTGGGAGCAGTGTCAGTCACAGGTGCTGCCTCAAGAGCAGCCAGCACAGCATACATGAAGTCATTTAACTTACTTGTAGGTATTCTCCATAGATAAGCCCACCTTTGCTGGCTTTATTTATGCCTTCTTGAGATTTGTCGTTATTTTCATCCTCCAAAGATAGCTTGCTAAAATTAAATCTAAGAAGAAAATGAAGTAAATATGTAAGTTGCTTCATTAAAGAATTATGAATATACCTGCCTTTTTACTAACATCTACAATTCAGTCAATGCTTTATTTTGATAAACAGAACCAGTAAAGCAGGCTCTTGATAAAAACTCAAGTTCCTTGTCACAGTAACAGCTGGTAACATCACATAAAATAACAAGTGCTCAGACAAGTCCTTGTATGATCTCTACTTATTTAGCAACAGCTAAATGATAGCTACAGCTACAGCTGTCTATTTGCTGATAATAAGTAATTCCTCTCTGAGATTTCATATTTTGCACTAACACCTTATCATTTGAATGGAATTTATAGAGTAAAACAGAAAGAGGAAGGACTCACAGGTAATTCTTCCCCGCAAAGGGGCACTGGCTCATGGTTTCAGGATCCAAACTCGCTGAGCGGCACACGGGGGAAAACACCCTGATAGTGTTCCCAAACCTGCTGCAGTTCCCTTTTATGTAGCCTTATCTCACTGCCAAGGCCAACCCCCAGATTCCCCTCCTTAGCCCTCAGCCCATCCCCACTATTCAATGATGGCAGAAACCATCACAGCACAAAGGTCAGGAAGTTCATGTGTTGTTGGCTCTCCAGGACTGTGTTTTTCCCTGCCAGATATAAAATGAATGGATGACATGCTTGTTTTGTCCAATGGCACAAGCTTTTTGTGCTTTTTACTGCAAGGTTTCCACCAGTTGCTTCTTTGGATGCATTTGTATGGTGCAGTGTGTAAGGTGTAAATCAATGAGAGGTCTGTGTGTGATAAAAAGGCAATATTTAATAAAACCACGAACGGTTAGAGTAGATTTTTAACCTGCAACCTTTTGTAGCCATTAAGGATACCATTAAGTTTAAAAAATCAGACACAGGGAAAAAGAAAAGAGGGGTGGGGGCGGAAGTGAAAAAACCTGAATGACAGACTAAATAGCACTTATTCAAAGAGATTTCAAGTAATATATACAATTTTTAAAAAATGTACTCAGATTAAGTGAAGTACTAAAAACATAATGAACCGCTCATGCTGGTTTTCCAAGTATTTAATTCAGAATTATTTCTTAATTTTATCTCCTTGCACAAAAATTTCAGTCTCATTTATTGACAAATGTTACTCAATTCTATCTGGTCATCAGCTTAACACACAATGAAGTAACATGTAACTAGCATACACTTCTTTTCTGCCTGCCAGCCCTTTCTGAAAAAAAAGTTAATGCTCAGTTTCACTGCAAACAAAACTACAGGACCTCTGTGACCCTGGATCATTTGCTCTCTGCAAGACTTACTCTGCTTAGTGGTGTCTGTGGTGGTTTTGGCTGTTCCAGTCCCTTAAGAATAGTTTTCTCATTAAAAAAAGGCAGATGTAGGATGTGGGTGATGGGATAGATACCCCGTTCAGCCAGATGTCATTTCTCAGGCTTTACACAAATCAGCTTAAATTAAAGTTGAGCCACAAGAAATGTAGGACTTCACTGAAGCAACTACCAAGCAAAGTCAAGGAGTTCTTCCTTCCTGATATAAAACATGACAGAAGAAAATAATCCTCTCCTTACACACACCTACATGTGCTCAGCAAATGCAGACAACTAGAGATGGAAATGAGGACATCACAAACCAAATGCTGAAAGCAACTTTTCACATATTTGCACTCAAACAGCTTGATTTACAAATGTGGAAATCTTGCACATCCATATATCTCAAAAGAAAAAGAAGGCTTGTCTTGTCATTCCTGTATATCTTCACCTGAAACATCCAGACTAAGCACGCATAATGAAATCAAACTCTTATCTTTTCTCATGGCACAAAGAAAGAAAGAATGCGAAACTAGTAAAAATAAGGACAGCTGGAAAATATTGAACTTTTAACCTCACAAAATATGTTAATGTATGTTTTCTTGTGCAGTTTTATTTTCTTCTGTGAAATACAGAGAATTATAAACTTCCGGTGCAATGATCTCTGACAGGCAACCTTTACATTGCCTACCCAGCAGGCAAAGGACTTTGAAGTAGCAGAGCCCTTTTACACTCTCTGCTTAACAAAACATTAACTCCCTATTTGGGAAATAATAGTACCATTAATTCACTCAGGGTTAGCAAACTCACTTGAAATCTAGCTGGGGATATTGTCTAAGCAACAACTATACAAACACCCCTTCCAATTCAGCAACAGCCAGCCTTCAGTCAATCAAGTAAATCAGCCAGACAAGAGCAATTTAGAAAGTTTTTTCCAGTGTTTCCAACATGCCAAATTCCTTGTTTAAGGACCTCATAGCTGAGGTTCCAAAGCTGTAAACTGATCAATTCCTAAAGAACTGGGTAATATTATGGATAACATTTGCATCCATTCATTTAAGAAAATTTAATCTCACACTAGCTGAATTCAGCTCTCTAACCATTGCAACTACAATAGATCTAAAACTCTCCAAGATCAGTGAAAAAAGATATCTTGATGAAGACTTGAAAATCCCTGAAAAAAAACCACAGACAATGGTTTTCAGACAATGGTTGAAGCCCTCTCGATAAGGCTTCAAAGTATGTAACTAACTTGGTAGTAAAATAATTTAAGTGGCTTGTATGACCTGATTATGAAACTGTCTGTTGGCAGTGTAGATGACAGCACAGCCTGCAAGAGCCCTCAGGTTTGGATCAGCTCAGAGCCTTGAACTCTGGCATGGCTGCAGACACCCTTAGAAATAAATGTGCTTCTGCCATGCTGCTCAAATTTGAGGCTCACTGTAGGGACCTGATTTTTATTGGAGTGTCCTTTATATCCTGACAGATATTTATAGCCACTTGGTCATCTCTCCTACTAGCATAATCATAAACAAGTCTTGATGAAAAAAGCTCTTCAATGTGAATGTATCCAAAAGCAAAACATAACTTTAATTTTAAATTATGGTATTGCTTTTTTCTCAAAATGTACCTTCACTTCCCTTTTTCATGTTGAACACTCAAAATCAGAAAGAAGCAGATCTAGCCACATGCATAACTTGCTGTTCATGCTGCAGATGACTGAGCAAGGCTGTGAAAACCAAGAGTGTGTGTCCCCTTGGGTTTTATTTTGTTATTTGTTAATTTACTTCTAACGTGAAAGTCAGATAAAAAACCTTCTTTTCATCACAGGGGACTCTTATCTTCAGCAGACAGTGAGAATGTTCTGTTTTGTGACTGGGCTGAATACAAGACAAACAGTTACATACAACAGAAAAAAAAAAAAACCCAAAAAACCCTATAAACAAAACAAACAAACAAACAAAAAAAAAAACCCACAGCTTCCCAAAACTGCTCTTTGTGGCCTTCAAATGCACTGCCACAGTCTTCATGACCAAACCTGGGAACAGTTAAGCACCCCTCTTAATTCACCCTGGCCCCTTTCCATTTACCTGCCCTTCCCAGGGGGATGTGGGGTGGCTGGACTGGCTGCAGTAGGGCTGCAGAGCAGGGACAAACTGAATTTACTTGGACTGAGAGCAGTGATTCACACGGGCAAAAAGGGAGCCTCTCTCCAGCCTGGCCAAGGGAGGTCCCATGTAAGGCAGAGGTGGCCTGCAGCATGATTTATGTATACAGCCAGAGCCAGGAGTCGGCATGTTCTCACTGTGGGGCTCTCCGTCTAAAACACTATGGTCTGATGAGGACAGGTAAATAAGACTGTCCTTCTACACACTGTCATGAATCCAAAAAAAGAATGAATTGGAAGTGACCTGTTCACCCAAGCCAAATCTCAAGTTTTCCTACATGAAATCACTTAAGGAGAAGAAAAAGTACACACACAAGTGGTTTGGACAGTGTCACCCATTCTACTGCTCAAACTCTCATCCTGATTACAAAATCCTCACAAATCAATTTGTTTGTCTAGAGTTTGCTAACTTGAAGAAAGAGCTCAGAGAGCTTCTGACTGCAAACAAATGACGCTTGAAGCTTCCCAGCACTCTGGTCCAACAGTTGCAGACTAGGAGCTACCCAGCACACATGGCTTCTACCGATGAAACAATGCCTGCAGTCAGTCAAAGATCCAAGTAGGTCATGCCATGCTGAAAAGTTTCAAAGAGAAAGTAAAAGATTGGGAAGAGCTATTAGAACAAAAGAAACAAACGTTAAAAAACAAAACAAAACACCATCAGCAAAAAACCAAAACAAAACAAAAAACCAACCCCAGCAAACTAAAAAGCAAGCTTATAAGCAAGCTTACAGTGCAATTATTTCCCCAGAATATTCATGTAATTTTCCAATTTTGATAGCTCCTGACTTCCTAAGATTTCTGTGTTCTTGCATTTAATAACCTTTTTGCAGATTCTGTGACTCCACAACCTGCAGCAATGAATTCCATAACTGAAGTACACATGTGAAGGAGTATTTCCATGTGCAAGTTTCAAATTTCCTGACAAATAATCAAGTAATTTTAATTTTTGTTTGGTACTTATTCCTGGCTAATGAGAAATAGGTGCACTATACCTTTGTAGTCCCAGGCACCCTGTTCTGCATTTGTGCAGATTCTGCTGTGACCTTTGTGAGAAAAAGTACTCAGAAGGAAAATATCTTTTCTACATACAGATGTTGCATTGTTAATTTCATAAAACTATAGTGATGAAATAATTTTGATAACAAACATACAACTATAATAGTGAAATGCAGTGCAGCAACTGCTGTTCTGGTTGACAAAGTGCAATTCAAATTGTAGAGGTGAAGCCCCCAGTGTCCCAAGCCAGAAGCTCCCTGTGCTGGCTACTCTGCTAGCACTGAACAAAAACCACTTCCTCACCCAATAATAACAACAGTAAGAGATATGTGAATAAGGACACATGAAAGGAAGGTGAAGAGCAGAAGATAAACTTGGAACCAAAATGTGACCTCTGTGTGTTTTGTGATTTTCCAAACTGGACTTACTATCTAACTAGCACTTGAAATTAACAGTTGGTTTTAAGAAAACTAAAATTTGGTGACTCCGGGCTAAAACAAACAAGCTTAAAGTTGATGCAATATTAATAATCCAATCAGACATTTGTACCTGGGGGAGGAACAGAGATCAAGGTCTTGCAAACTACAAACAAAGAGAGGAGATAGTGCTGGAAAGATTATTTTTTTCTTTCTAAATACCGCATTTGTTCAAATTCTTAAACACAAAGAACTGTGTTATCACTTCCCAGAATACTTTTAACTTCCATTTATGTTTCACATATCCCAGTGCAACCTTTCCCCCACCATCTCTCATTTGTGGCTCAGCAGAATGCAGCAGCATTTCTTTCACATGCTGATAATTTTTGACTAATAATTTTTATCCAAGTATGGAGAAAATGTTCTTTCACTTATATTGCCCAAACTCTCTGCTTTCATCAATGTAAATGGATCAGTGCCAGCCAGAACTGTAAACTTAGGAGAAACCCATATCTTGCACATATTCCGCAGTGTTGTCCCAAGGCAAACCTATCCCCTACTAATGCCTTGCAGCCATACATTGCAGGGTGCAGTACTTTAGTATATAAAGTATACAATCCTTTGGGCTGTTTTTCCCCTCCTGAACAACCCAGTCCTGGTTACCTGTGAGGTCCAGTGAAGCACAAACCTGGAGCCATAAGCTACTCCCTTGCCTCCACGTGGCTCAGCTCGTGTTGCTGTTTACTCCACAGCACAGCTGCCTGGCAAGTGCAAAGTGCTGGTTTAGGACAAACATTGACAAAAACGTGCTCATCTCATCCCACTCAGCATTATCATTAACAGATGGGGTGATGGAATAGGTTGTGCACTTCTTGAACTGACAAATGAGAGCAGCCTGGAAAGTCTAATAGCATGCTGGCAGATAGGAGCTGGAATTCAGAATTACCTTAATGCACTGAAATTAATAACATGCAGCTTCTGTGATGCAAAGAGCAGTACTTTTGAACTTCAGCCATGATAACCAAACTTACAAATAAGAAGTTCTTTAGAGAAAATCTTATACTGGAATTTTTAAATAGCAACTTTCTACATGGCATGGAACCCCTCACTTCTATCCAGCATCAGAAATCCATTTATCCATTACATTATGTCCTGGGCACCACTCTTCAAGACAGATGAAGACAATGTGAAAAGGGTTCAGAAGAGGATGGCAAGAACAAAAAATGTTTGATGTAGAAAATATGGCCCCTTAAGAAAGATGGAAAGAATTGACCAGTATAACTAAGAGAAGATTGTAAATAGAAAAGTGAGAAATACTTTCCTATCGAAAGGAAGGGCAATAAGCAGCTTCCAATACACCACAGGATGGGAAAAGGAGTAACCAGTTTAAATTATGTCAGGATAACACTGGCATAAGAAAACAAAAAATAAGGAAATTCTAGTATCTTTAATCATTAGAAAACAATGATGAGAGCTCATGATTTCTCATCAATGCGGAGAGAGACTCAAGGAGTCCTCAAACTCTCCTTGAGCACCTCCTGCTGCAGCCCCTTCTGCCCCCATTGCTGAATCCACTTTCAGCCCTTGCTCCAGGGAAGGAGCAAGACAGATGCTTGCATATACTGTCAGCACCAGCTTTCCATGAAATGGCAATGGCAATGCATTACAACAATCCAGGCAGTGTGTTGTTTTACTGTTTTGCCTTTTTCTGCTAATATTTTTGTATGAATTGAGTAAAAGTATTTGTAGTCTGCCATATTAGTAAATGCATTACTTCTGACTTAAAAGCAGATAATATTTGAGATGCTTCTATTAAAAGAGAGAGCTAAGCAAAACAGAAGAATTAATATCAAAAAAGCACTTATAGAGGGTGATGCAATGTAACAGGCATTGGAAAGAAACACTTTAATATATTCTAAAAAATACAATTTTGTCCAAAGAAAGCTAAATATACACCAAATGCATAATGTGTACACATGCATTTTATCTCAGCAACCCATAAGAATTCTCAGAAGATATTTTGCTGCAACTAGGCTATAAAGAATTAACTTTATTAGAATCACGTTATCTATTTGTGTCAGGAAATAACTATGTAGTTACGCTGCCTGCAGCATTACTTTTTAATTTAGCACCATAACAGCAGAACTGAACAGCATGTAAGAGTGACTTCAAATAATAATTTGAGTACAAAATTAGCATTATGTGTGAATGCAAAAAAATGGTGACCACCTCTGTTAACAGTTGGTTTTCCTATCTTTACTGCATTGACTGTTAGGGAATGTGTGGTTTTAATAACAAAATACATATGCTAGGAGTGAGTGGCCAGAGCAAGCTGCCTGTGACCAATTTACAGCCTGGAACCTGTTTGTCCAAGCTATTTGGGAAGGATGAACAAACATAAGATGGTTGGTCTTCATCCATTAGTATTTACTTAAGAATTAATATAAAACAACCATAAAAGAAAGAAATTTCTCAAAATCAATTTCTTATGTAAAACACAAGGGGACAACATAAGCCTTGTTCATCTAAAGCATTGCATAAGCATAGCAACTCTTTGTGAGGCAGCAACACAATTTAAAAAAAAAGTTGAATCACTTGCTGTATATAGAGCCAAGTAACTTACAGTTTGTGCTTCTTAATTCTATATACAAAACAGTATAAAAGATTAACATAATTTATTTTATGAACTCAAGCAACTCGAGCAAGAGGTGTTGTCTGGGTTCTGTGAATTACAGTGGTTTGCATTAATAGGAGTCAATGGATCTGCAGGGCTCAGAAACTGCTCAGCAGAGCATCAGCTGGGCTCGAGTTACAAACAGCTTAAAAAAACTGCTTGTGTCAACACAAGTGCTGTGCAAAACTTGTCCTGGCAGAGTCCCACCAGTGAGGCAACAGTGATAAATTAAGCTGGGAATTCCAAGCAGTAGAGTACAGAAACTTGTCAGCCAGGAATAATTAAATGGAGTTCAGTGCTTTACCTTGTTGCTTGTAGCATTAACAACACAGCCAGAAACTAGCAAATGACCAGGCAGTGAGGCACCAAGAACCCAAGCTGATACACTAACCCAAGAATTCTGTAGTTGACCAACAGGACAACAGAGGGAAAGAAGTAAAGAAATCAGAAAGAGAATGTGAGGGGGCTTTTTAATTATTTTTTCCTAAAGTGTTAATGAAGTACATCCCACGTTTGAATCTTCTAGTATTCACTTTTATTAGATGTTCAGCTCTTTTCTTGAAATAAATTTCAAACAAGATAATTTTGCACATTAACAAAAAAAGCAGCGTCTGTACTTTTGCATAAGGCCTTACTGGAATGATTGACCCTGTGTGTATTCATCCTTGCCTACAGGGTTAGTTCTTAGAAGTAACAGCTCATTTTTGCTGAAATGTCTACAAGAACAAGAAGTCTGGAGCTGGTTATGAAGACAGCCATTCAAAGTGTGGATAAACTGCATCCTGTTCCTGCTAGTAATCTAGTGAGAGACATTTTACTGCTCTCCAGACCAGGAAGGGGGTTCTTATTTATCTCAAGAGAAGCTATTTAGTTCTGAACAGCACAGTATTTTAGCAAAGATCATAGGCTTTTCTAAAACAGAAGGAAAATATGTGAAAGAAATTTGTAAGGTGATACAATACCCAATGCACTTGTGTGACTATAAGCATAATAAGTAATTGAAATGTATATAAAGGTGTACATCTGATCCTGTAATCAGAATTATCTCCTTCACATTGCAGACTGTGTTAATAAAAGGCAAAACATAGCAACCCCAGCAGGTAAATTACCCAGTCCCATGTGTCATTGAGAATCACCTCCCATTTAGTGTTCTATAAAAGCCATTACCTAGCAGTGATCACAGTGGTAAGGCAGCTTCTTATCCATCCTTTCCTTACGGAAATCAGCACGGCCTCATGGACCAGATCAGGAGATTCATTCAGTGGGATGCCAAAGGTATGTAACTAGGTATATTAGAGTACTTTACCAACAGCTTTGTTATTTGTCATCTTTTCCAAAAGTAGCAATAATGTACCTTTTCAAGATACAACAAAGAAGGGAGAGCTCAAAAAAGCTTGTAGAAAAAAATTTGTATGCTTACTTAAAAAATGTTAAAAGCCTTTAGCTACTGGCCCTCTGTGTATTTAGAATAGAGCTAATACAGTTTTAACTAGGGAATCGCTAAACAGCATTTTCGACAGAAATCTGGAAGTAGAGTAAGGATTCTTTAAGACACTCACAAAGTAGTGCTAATGAAAGCAGCAACATGCTATTATTAGATAATCCTATACATTAAAAGCAAAAATTTATTGATTTTTTTTCTCAGGTGAAACATAATTTTTACTTACTACTATTTACTATACTAGCTATGCACAGGAGGAGAAATGCTTAGCTTAGCTTAATTTTTGCTAGATTCAAAGTTACAACTCTGCTGATTAAGGCAACTAGTGTTTTTTGATGAAGAAAAGCACTTGGCTTCTATGTAGGGACATGCTATCATTCTTATACTAGCCCAATGCATATAAGAGAAATAAATAGTCACAGCATTATCCTTGGAGAAAAGGATCTGACTTGCCTGTGATCTCTTGTTGCAGTCTATGGGCTGCAGATGCAGAGATGTAGGAATGTAGGAATGTACTTCTCCCTCTGTTCTGTTTTGGGGAACAGGAAAAGAACTCATCCCACTGTCCATGTGCTAGTGAGAGAGAAGCCTACAGCAAAACCAGAAATCTCCATTCCAGCACGATGTACCAATACACACATAGCTGAACAGATTTGCAGTGGGCTCCAGCAGTCACTAGAGCTAGGAAAGAAACTTTTGAACAGTTTTGCAGCGGAAAACTGTCTGAGGATAAAACAAGGTCATAGTAAATTACACAATATTGATCAAAGTACTTACACAGACCTTAAAAGAGCAACATAAAGTAAATTCTTTCCCTTCAGAAACACTTTGAAATCCAGCACCACCTAGGATTTCATTATCATGGTCCAGAGACTGTGGGCCAAAGAAAGGCCCCAGAGTACTGATGTGGTCACGATGTGGCTGATGTGGCTCTGGCAGATGACTCTTACATCCCTTTGTTCCTTTGCCCAGCTGTAATAGCCTTGAGTAACTCAGTCTTAAAAAGCCTATATTCTCTACCTACCACACATGCAAAGAATTAAAGCTAATTTTTGGATACAAACAGAAGAGAAGCATTTAATTGCTGTTAAACACTGATCTAAATAATACATTTTCAGATATTAAAAACTGTCTCACAAACTTTCTTGCTTTTCTTATGGACTTAATGCCAAAAAAAAGTAGTGGATGGCAATCTGTGGAAGAAGCACTTTGCGAAAAGAGTGATCCAATTTTGACAAGGTACAAAAAAGATCTCATGAAGTTTCCTTTATTTGGATATTTTGGGAGAGAAAATTAAGTTTAAATTCATGTCCAAAAGGTTATTCAGCATTAAGCATAGTAACGTTACTGCAGTTCCAGATATTGACTACATTCATTATTGTTATAACTCTTTTTAAACTTTAAAAAAGGTTTGGTTTATTTTAATATCAGTTTATAGAAAACATGATGCAAATGAAAACCAAACCCATCCCATTTCAAAGTTATGGAATCAGACAAGTGTGAACCTAAGAAAATGAGATTGGGTATTCTTTTGAACCTGCAAACCTTCCAATTCTTATCTTGAAAATTTTAATAGTGAAAGAGTGAAATTCCCTTTCATTTAATTCCATATCATTCATTTTAAACCTAATTTGTCAGAGCATGTGTGAAGGACCAGTCCTTTATGGAGTTGTTGCTGTAAAAATGAGATGTTTAACTTTTCACATAAGCTCACAGCAACCTATGGTTTTAAACCCCCGAGGTATGTCAAAATCCTATCTTTCCCCCAAAAGTGAAACTACTCTTAAATTAAAGTGCTTAAACATTTGTGGGCTTGAAATACTGCAAGATATACTTTATACTCAGGGCAACACCGAGCCCATCTCTTCCCACACAACTCTTCCATCCTCAGAATCAAGTTCATTACTTAAAGAGAGAATTTACAATTAATGGGAAAATTCACATCAGAATTATGTGGATTCCTTTTTTTTAGTGATGGTTAAACGCTAATTTTTTTTGAAATTTTAACTTTGTTCCACACTCAGGAATACTGGAAAAGATACGGTTGTGTTTGATAAAGAAACTGCTGCCAGATTGCGAAGACAGAAGGAAGTACCACGAGGAGTTCGCCTCATCCACTTCGTTCCACGGCGTGCACAACATCGTGCACAGGCGGAGCAGGGCTCGCAGGGCGCTGTGGCTGCTGGTGGTGGCAGGCTGCCTCGCCACGGCTGCCTGGCAGATCTGCAGCCGCCTCAGCTACTACCTCAGCTGGCCAACCACCACTGCCGTGGTGGTCCAGTACGTGGAAAAAGTCAAATTCCCCGCTGTGACCTTCTGCAACTTGAACAGGTAAAAATTATGTTTGTTGTTTGCTCTTGAGACACAACACAGCTTTATCTGAAAGCAGTCAGGTTCCACAACCTGTTTGGACAAATCACATAAACCAAGGAAAATATGGCTGTGAGGGGCATGTCTTCCACATGTCCCTACCTCCCTCACCACCACATGATACTTAAAAGAGGATGAAAATACAAGAATCAAGAAAGGGAGGCTGCTTTTATCATCTCCCCCTTCCTTCAGATGACATGATTTTTAAGTTTCACAACAAAAGTTGGAATAGAAAAACTCTGGTAGTAGTGTTCTATGTATCAGTGTTGCTTTTCAGTGTAACTAAGGGGCAGCCATCAGCCCCATTGAAGTTAAAAATAAAAGACAAGATGAACAAATTATTTTAAACAGGAACTTCATGAAAGGTAAAACGCTTAGGTAAAACAGATATTCCTTTTTCAGAGGTGCTCAGCCTTTACGACTCCTGCTGATGTCTGGAGTTTTTGCAGGAAAAAAACATTTGGGTTGTTTGGAAATTGTGTGTCTAAGCAAGAACTTCACTATAGATTTCTACATTTGAAGACAGTGTCCAACATTCAGTGCAGCCACTTAAAAAATAATTTAATGAAATTGTGGCCTGATTTTTAGAGCAAAAACATGGAACAGTTTTAGAAACGCAGAAAGCTTATCCACATTTTTTTCCTCAAAAATTAGTACATTTTCTCATTTTCCACCTTCTGCTGGCAGAATCAGCCAGAAACCCAAGTCTCAAAGGCCTGGAGTGGTTCTGCCTCTCTCTGCCACTTCCTCATTACCTGCATAAAGCTACCCTGGGTTGCACCACACGATGGGCACTGCAGACAGAAGTCTCTGGCTGCAGCGGGCTGCCTGTTATAAACAAGCCTCAGTTCCTGTAACTATAGCAGCAGCACACCAAAAGGAGCCAGCCACTGAGCACAGCATTTTCCCATCTAAGTAACAGTTTGCTGCCGTATCCATCTGCCGGTCATGCTGTGTTTACCCTCCCCTCCTGTTCTTATTAACTGGGGATTTTTCATTAGCAGGACAAAAAGGCACAGCACTCCCTTTGTCTTCATTTTTTGACTCAAATTTAGTGGTGAAGAGCTGTTCCTACTAACCTTCCTTAAACTGAGGCGTTAAGATCTCTTACACAAATATGTTACGTTAATACATTTTTGTAATTTAATACATAAGTTAATACATAACTTCTGTAAAGCCTTACTTTACTTCAATAAAGAACCTCAAGGCAGTACCTAAGGTAAGCATCACCAAAATCTCATCATGTTTTTGAGTCTTTTCTAGTGGATTCAAAGAGTAAATATCACCTTTGATTAAACCACCACACCACCAACTCATGAGAAGGTACACTGTCTAGAGTGGGGTGCAGTGCCTTAGTAAAGCAGGCACATGACACTACTGCCAATGTGCTTAGAATTCCATTTCCAAATTAATGAAGACAGCTTTTTTTCTGAAAGGGACAGCTCCTCTCAGCTAGTTTCCCACCCATAAACTCAATTGTTCAGCTTGTCATTGGTTCCACTAATCTTGTTGTTGGTTTATGTGAATGGTTCATTTTTGTATTTGCAGGGTTTCCAGACAAAGGAAGAAATGATGGATCTAACTTCCTAATGGAAGGAACATGGATCTAACTCCATGTTCTTAGAAGGCTAATTTATTATTTTATGATACTATATTAAAGAATACTATACTAAACTATACTAAAGAATACAGAAAGGATATTTACAAAAGGCTAAAACATAAAAATGAAAGCTCGTGACTCCTTCCAGAGTCCCGACACAGCTTGGCCCCAATTGGCCAATGAGTGAAAACACTCACACCAGAAACCAATGAAACAACCACCAAACACATTCCAAAGCAGCAAAACACAAGAGAAGCAAATGAGATAATATTATTTTCCTTTTTCTCTGAGGCTTCTCAGCTTCCCAGGAGAAGAATTCTGGGTAAAGGGATTTTTCCAGAGAATGTGACAGTGACAGTTCATTTACTCAGGGGATTTTGTTTTTAATGTTTAGTAAACAACCACACACAACAGAAATATTTCCTATATGACTGACCAGAATTGCCATGGGAAGGTGTGTATTTGCTGTTTCCAGATATGGAAGATACAATCTAGATATAGGGACTATATTGTTCATGTTACAGAGACCAAACTGCAGCCTGTTGGGCAAGAATCACTTATAGTTTGTGAGGAGATAGCAAATTTGTCACAGTTTTGCAAAATTAGCCTTGAGATCAGTCCTATAACTACAGAATCCCAAGCAATTCTTTCTCCTTCTCATTGGTAGGTTTCAAGCTCATGCTGTGAGCAACCTGAAAGTAATTTTTTTAATTTGGAACACTGTATCTGCAATTCTCCAAAAATTTGCTGTGGAAGACAAATATTCCGAGGAGTTAAATGATTTCCTTCTTGGGAACCAGAACTTCAGCATCAAAGACTTTACAAGGCAAAATGGGTTTTATCTGAACAGCAGCACATTGCTTGAATGTGATTTTTTTGGAAAGCCATGTTACCCACAGGTAAATATGTTTATTTTATTAAAACAATAGCACAGAGAGGAAGGGGATATATTCTTTATGCTCAACTTAAAATATCTGGCTTTGCCACCTGCTCTCCTACGCTCTTTTACAGTCAGAAAATAGAGAACAAAAGTCCTGCTCTAAATTACCCTGAGGGTCTCAGTTCTCCCACTGACTACAGAGGCAGCCTGCTGGACTCTCTGAGCTGTAAGATGGGATTTCAGTTTAAATTGCTCTCTGCCTAATGCCACTTCTGCACAGGCAGCAGCCCTTGAAAGCTGTCACACCCCCAGGCTGTATCTAACAACCTTTTCCGTCAGTGGCCTAAATGAAGGACAGTTTGAAACAAGTTTTTTTACATTACATGATTCTGTGGTTTTCTCCTTGAGGTCAAGAATACAGACAGGATATAACAGGAATTTTATATCTTGGAAAGAAAATAGCCCATGTTTGGGAATTTGGGATGACAGCCAAAAAATATGATCATCCCATTTTTATGTCAATTCTGCTGTAAAGGAATTCCCAACTTAGACAGAAAATGTGAACCAAGAAGTCAGGTCTATATCCTTTCAGATTAATCTAACCTTTAGATATGATGTAGATTCTAAAATTAGGCATTAGAGACTTCTCTTAACTAGAAAACACTAGTGCTAAGAACATAACTAAAGCAATGACATGCAGTCATAGTAAATTACAAGGTGGTTTCAGGAAAAAATGCAAATATTGTACTTTCATATGTAACATGACAGTTTTGAAACAGTCTGCACTAAGCAGCTAATGGAAAAAATTAAAATTTATTTTTGAATATATAGTTTCTATATCATGTAACAGGTATAGAAATAACACAGGACCTCATTAAATTATTCTGAGCAGCTCAGTATTAATAAAGAATGTGAAATTTCTCCTTTAAACTTCATTTTCTATAGAAAGGGCTGAAATACTTTTGAATATTTCATTAAACACCTCTTTTCTGATTGTAATATTGAGCACTTTGGAGAACAAAATAAAACTAAATGAGTCAACAACAATGCCAGTAACCCCTTTCTTGCATTGTAATTAACTAAGGAAACTACAAGTGTTCTTTCTTTCATTTCACCCTTCCCTATTTTCCTTTATTGAAGGATTTTGAACATGTGTTCACTGAATATGGAAACTGCTTTACTTTTAATCATAATGATCTTTCAGCAAGAAGAGTGAGTTTGTCTGGAAGAGGCTTACATTTGCTTTTTGATGTCCAGCAGGTACAGCTATCCTAAGGATTATAAGTAATGAATCATGTACTAACTTATAAATTTGTGGAGGGGGTTATTTTGTTTGGTTTGGGATTTTTGTTTGATTGGGTTTACACAGACCTCCAGAATTTCATGTACAAAATTCAAAATCAAGACTATTTCCAAGTGAGAGGGTATTTTAAAGGAAATACCAAAATAGAGCTTTAAAAAGACAGAATTAGTAGTGACTCTGTCCCCAGCTAAGGGGAAGAAGGTTGTGAGTGAGCATACACGTGTACTGCTCATCCAGAACTGAAACATGTCATCAGAAGAGTGATTTAATTTTGTACAAGCAGTTCATCTTAATAAAAGGCCCAGAAGGGAAGGTCACCTGGTGTCAGTTTCTATGTAGCACCAAATTTTAGTTAGAGCAGCTGCAGCAGCTCAATGCCAGCCAAGAGCTTTGCACTGTAAATTGTTTCTGACATTAGAATTGTCTTTGACCAACAAAAAGGCAGAACACAGGGAATATCACCTTGTGCGAACAGGAAAGAAAACTAATAGATTGATAAATTATTAGACATTGGCTTTTGTTCTCTAGGAATTATGAGTCAGGAGTGAAAGGTTCTGAAGAGAATAATGGAAAGCTTAGTGAAATGTGATGGGTAGTTGCAAGTAAAAGGAACAAATCTCCAAGTTATGAGTAAATGCTAACCTATGACTTCTTGTATTTAAAATTGGGGTTGCCAAAAAGAATAAAAAGGTTGAAAGTTTATAGCAACTGGAAGGAAAACCACAGAGGTAATGAACAAAAGAAATTCAAGTCAGTTTGCTTCTGTACTTTCCTGTAAATTGCCAAAAATATAACTAAGCAGCACAGTACCACAATAAATATAGCTAAAAGTTCAGATGGCAAGCAAAGCCAAAACGACTTTTAACAATTCTTTTTGTGTCAGGACAAATTCACTGATGAGCCTACCCTCGGTTATACTGACGCTGGAATAACTTTTGTTGTCCACTCACCCCAAGAGCTGCCGCGCTTTGATGGGTTGGGTCTGCTGACGCCAGTGGGGACGCACGCGCAGGTCGCAATCCGCCAGCTGAAGGTAAGGGCTTTGCCCAGGGGCTGGGAGTGGTGCTTGTTACTGCCTCCTGTTCTCTTCTGAAGCACTAACAATGAATCAGACATTTTGGAGTGCAAAATATCCATTAAGCCTTAGTGAGTCCAAAAAATAACATTTCCTCCAGATGCAAGCGAAATCTGGGAGAATATCACTGGTTTTCCTACTTTGTCTATCAAAGTCAGCCTTATTTCCTGTAACTTTACAACCTCATTGACAGAAAATGTTAAAAAGACATCACAGAATTTCCCCTATCAACACATTCTGCCATCATTAAGAGGTTCTCAAATTCCTAGCAGAATTCAAGTGGAGTAGAGAACCATTTTAGGCTAAGCTGTCTAATCAGGCCCTACTTTTGCTTTGAGAGAGGGGAGAATTTTTAATCCCAAGAGCATGAACTGTAATTGCCTCTAATTAAATCACAATGTTACAGCTTGTGTCTTCAACAGGCTTCCTGCAGCACTTTAAAATGTGGAAAAGCAATACCAGCGTTTAAAACAGACCCCAAAAAAATTGTATCTTTTGTTATTATTATCCTACAGTCAATTATCCAAGAATACCCATGGGGAGAGTGCAAGCCTGATATAAAGCTTCAGTACCACAAGATTTATAGTACTAATGGATGTTTGCTGGAATGCAAAGCCCGGTACATACAGGACTGGTGTGGCTGTTTGCCTTTCATTCTTCCAGGTATTTCTCAGGAAAATCATTATATCCCACGCTGATCATCTTCCTGGGAGACCTCATGTGTTATTGAATAGCCAGAGCTATTGCTATATACTGAATAGATAGAGCACACATTTGAGGGAAATCTCCAGTTGACGTTAATTAAAATTCCAAGGAAACAAGCAAGATATTTGGTCAAGGCTAGACCTAGCATTTGGGTCATTGTCTATTCTTAGGATACAGTCCAAAAAATAGAAAGAAACAGTTATGCCTCAGGAGTGTGAGACAGGTCTGTAGTCTTCAACCTGACTTCCTAAGGAGCTGGAACTGAACCCATAAGAAGGCATACATTTTCACACATAATCCAGGCAATTTACTTTGCAGGCAGGTGTTCAGTAACCACAGCAGAAGAACTGGCTTGAAGACAGAATCTCAGGACTCCTACATGAGCCACAGAAAGAGCCTGGCAGCAGCAAAGGCTCCACAAAGCCAAAAAGGCTGTATGAAGCCTTCTAATCAGCTTCAAATGTGGAGCACCAGGTGCATGCTGTAATACTCCCCTAAAGTATCCAGGCTGCTTAATCACTCTAGAAATGTAAGGCAGTAACAGTGAGCTCTCACACCTTTTCAGCATTAATGACAATACTGTCACCTAAAGCAACCCTGGAACCCAGATCTCTGCTCTTGCACCTCTTTTCTCACAACTGGTAGGCAAGAAAGCCACTAGATCATAAGAAAGCCTGTACTGAATCATTGTATTTTTTAAATATGCTCAAGCAAGGCAGAAAGCTCTTACTTAATCAGACCCCCTAATATGTAGTCTCTAGTCTGTTAGTTTGGGAACCCCTGGGAAAGGAGGTTGGCAGCCTTCTGCAAACTGTCATGGAAAAGGGGTTGCCAAGACAATTAAGCCTGGGTCTCCCATGCCTGGGGTGACATCTATATACAACTTTATACTAGGACAATTAGATAAAGGAGAGCAATGCCTTCTGGAACTGTGTGCTAAACTGCTACACAACATTTCCATGTGATGGAAAAAAAATTTAAAATAGAGTGAAACTGAGGCCAACTGAAAATTTTGCTCTAGTTCAGCATACTCTTTTACATACTAGATCTCCAAAAAACTCCTGCATGAAGCTCAGAATTTCTGCAGAAACATGTGGGATGTAATCTCATATCAAATCTACCTTTGGGTTTATTTTTTTCATTTCCACTAGGAAAAGCAGAAATTCCTGTCTTTAGCAAGCTAACACCAAGAGTGAGCCACTCTTAAGCTTAAAGGCAGTTCAGGCTGGTACACATAATGAAGGTGTTTGCTCCATCAGCAGCCTCCTGGCTTGGTCTGTTGTGTCTCTTCAGCCTGTCCCCTTCCTGGTGTTGGTAACTGCACTGTGCCCAGCTGAATTGATTTCTCAGTTGTGTAATCATTAACCTGAAGTGATGAGCAAGTTTTGATGACATTACATTTCAGTTTAGTACAAATAGAGCTAAGGGTTAGATGGTTAATTGAGACTCCTAAATATTTTTATTTATTTTTAGGAAATGGAACAGAATGTGACTTGCTGAAATTTTACAAATGTGTTTATCCAGCAGTCTGTAAGTAATAACTTCATATTCATGATTTCCAAGCCAATTACAAATAGTAGACAATATCGATAATGAAAATAATCTGAAATGGAGTACATCCCAGTTCATTTAATATTCTGAAAACAGACACCAGACAGAGCATGAAATATATGTCCATTAAAAAACAAACCACACAAAAATACTCAAAAAAGTGTGTGTATGTATGTGTATATATAAACTAATAGGAGAATTCATTTTAGCAATCAGAAATGGTTTAAAATTGAAGAACATCCAACTAATATGCTTTCAATTACCAAGCCTCTGGATAGCATTTTCACATCTTCACAGCATCCTTCTAGATCCCATGTTATATTCTTTGTGCAAGAAGAGTGAACAGTACAGTAATAACAGGTTTGTTAACAGGCAAAACAGAAATCACTAGCTTTAAGATTTCATCTTTTTAAAAGGAAAATATAAATTTTGAAAGCACTTGAAATGCAATTCTTTTCCATAAACAAATAATCTATGCACAGTGGGTATGAAATTTGTAGGTCACTGCAACAGACTGGAAAATACATAAAACAGTAATCTGAGAAGTTGCTTTTCATGAACCTCAGAAAGCTTTGTTTTTGAATTGGTTTGGTTTCTATTGTGTAATGTGACTCTGAGTGATTAGCAGACTCAGAAGTTGGTGGGGTGTTTTGATAAGGTGTGTGCAACATTCAGGCCAGATCTTCTACTGTCAACAATTACTTGTTTCCCTGTAAGCTATTTTAAAATGGATTCCACTAAGTTCACATTCTTATATAACCATGATCCTTTAAAGCCTGTCATGAGGGAAGATGTATATTATTTTACTCAATAGATATTCAGTGACTGAATGTCAAAGAAAGCACAGAGCAATAAGCAAAAATGACCCCAAATTCCTCTGAAGGATGGCCAGGATTCAGAGCTGGATCCCAGAAAGTTTGCAGATATATGGTCCCTGGGATCTCATTTTAGGGGCTGACCCTCCTTTGACAGTGTCAGAGAGGTAAGATAACAAAATAACAAAATTAATCTGATAACAAAATCTCAAGTAACAGCACAGTTATCCAGTATCTGCAGGACCCACTAAGAGCATTATTTTAGCAGCTCTAAAGGCTGCCTCTCTTGAATAAAATCCACAACCCCAGCATCCCTGGAGAGTATTTCAAGTCATCAGCTAACAGGCTGAGATATCTCCTCCTCTGTGCTTTGCAAAGTGAGAAGCCCACCAGCAGAATGAACAGATACTGCCTCTGCCACCCCACAAACAGGACAAATAGAATATCACAGGCAAGAGATCACAGTACTCATCTCACAGTGATGGCTTATGATTTAGGAAACATACAATTTTTCATCCACATTGTTTTTCTCTAGCTTTGCCAGATTTCTGTAATGATTCTTTTCTGTACTTCTTTCTTTAATTCCTTGTTAAGACAAATGGCTCCCCACTTTCATGGCAGCCAGACCTGCAGAATTTTATGACTTCTCTTCAGTATTTGAAGAGACAAATCTTTCCCTAAGCCTTCTTAGCTGAGCCCAATTATGAAATGGCAGGCAGGGGTTAAGGTAAAGTGAATTTATCTTACCAAGGTTTTTACAGTTATCAGATGATAGCCAACTGCAGTTGGAGCTGCTCTGGAAGCTGTTTCTGTGCACTGAAATGGGCTGGGCAGGCACTAAGGCATCATTATCAAGGATATATACCTAAGTATTTAATTTGAAAGCTAGCACAGAACATGGAAAGTTTTCTGTTGTCTTTTTGTTTAACTGTGGGTGAGAAATAATAAGCACATAAAGCCCCAATTAAGGCAGAAACACTTAGAGGTGCTGTATTTCTTTGGAAAAAAATGAGAAATATATCTCAACCCTTGTTTTTGTGCACCAGTCTCCAAATGAAAGTTGCAAACACTTATTTGATCCTTCAATACTGGTAAGTATCCACTTTTCTTGGGAGAATTAATCTACACATTTATGAAAGACAATTAAAATTAATTAGTAAGTAATTTTTTAAATTTTTTAAACTGTATGCTTTCTAAGAAATATTGTATAAAAGTATTTATTCTGAAATTTCAGATAATATAGAGATAAAAGGATTATGTACAGTAGGAACACACAATTCCACTTGCCCTGCCCCATGTGAAGAAACAGATTATCCTACCACTGTCACCTATTCAAACTTTGGAGGAGAAAAAGCCATAAAATATTTTTCTACAAAACTGAAGAAAAGCCCAGAATACATCAGGTAATCTTGCTTAACACCTTGTCTAACAAAGAAATTATCAATTCCTTGTAACCATGGTAGCAGAGTGTATGATGAAAATATGACCTTAAAAAGATATTCTTATGTGTGGTATTAATAACATTGCCTGTGAGATAACATAATCTCTTGGACAAACTGGTTAAGATTTATACTAATTCATGTCTATATTGATGTATGTATGTATTATACACATAGATACATATATATATGTATGTATATAATATACTTAGATACACCTAAGACTGTATAACAAAGAATAGAAAATGCAATTACAATGTAATATTCTCAATTACCTTCTCTTTCACTAATCTCTGATGACAAAGTTTTTTTATCACTGTTTCAATTAGGAATAAAAAAAGTAGGGTTATCAAACCTATTCACTATGGATTCATTACAGACAACCAATCTTCACACTTCCACAAATTAAGGCAATGAAAAAACACAAATAGATGCTGCATAAAGTTTTTCTCCTTTTAGCCTGTTCCCAAAGGAAGTTTTGTAAATACTGAAGACCTGGGTTTTATTGTAGCAGCAAAGCTAAAAATTTAATAACATTTTCTATTGCTGGTAGAATTCCTTAACACTATTTATATTATAGAAGTTATTTAGAAAATCTTTGGTACCACATCAATTCTCACAAGGTAGCAGAAGACAGAAACAGGTTGGTTGTGTGTGATTGAAAGCACTACTCAGAAAAAGGAGTTGGAAAATTTAATCCAGTTTCATACACTGAATTGCCTCTTTCTCATAGCCAGAGATGTCAGCAGTGCAAATAAGTATTAAGGCAGGCGCTACATGAACTCATGGTATATACAATATCAAAGTATGTTTATAAACAATTGTAGAACATTTGATTCATGAAATGTCTATGAGTTTCATTCTCTCAGTGACTTTGGTTTTCTCACTTTCAAAGCCATCAGTCTGCAAATGCTGACTGATATGCTGGCATATGTTTATACATGCACAGGACCTATACAAATCATAAAATGATTGGGTTGGATGGGACCTTTAATGGTCAGCTATTCCAATTTCCCTGCAATGACCAGGGACATCATCATCTACATCAGGTTGCTCAGAGCCCAGTCCAACCTGACCTTGAATGTTTCCAGGCATGGGCTATTCACCACCTCTCAGGGCAACCTGTTCCAGTGTTTCACCATGCTTGTTGTAAAAGATGCCTCCCTTACACCTAGTCTGAATCTATCATTAGTTTACAACCATTACCTCTTGTCATATATCTACAGGCCCTATTAAAAGTCTGTTTCAAATGAACATTATGAAAATGAAACCTGTTATATACAAACAATAACAATCCCTTCAGGACATTTTATCTTTGTTGATTATTTTATTGTCTGCAAACATTATGCACAACTCAGTAATTATTCAATTACATAAGGGAACATACAAGAAATTCCCCTGTAACCAGGCCTTAACCAATAGGAATCCTGCCAACACATTAATGAGTACACATTTCAAACTATAAAACATAGAGACGTAATTATTTCTGAAGATGTTATGAGGAAAAAGTTAAATATTTATTGATAATTCTTTTAGCAAATCCATTACAAGGGCAGGAGCCTTACTAACAGAATCTAGGTGAAAAGGATTATTTTTATACATTAGCGCTACCTGAATTTTAGAATTTTCACCCAAAGAGATAGAAGTGATGATTTTGTACAGAAAATACCTTATTTTCATTAATATTGTTAATGAGCTCACTGTCACTGCCAAAGCAAAAACCAGTAGCTGTTAACACCTGAAGAATCATAGGAGGGTTTGGATTGGAAGGGACCTTAATGATCATCCAACCCGGGTGGACAGAGATACCACCCTCTACATCAGTTTGCTCAAAGCCCCATCCAACATGGCCTTGATTACTGCCAGGGATGGGGTACCCACAACTTCTCTGGGCAACCTGTTCCAGTGCCTCACCACCCTCACGGTAAAGACTTTCTTCCCAATATCTAATCTAAACCTACTCTGTTTTGGCTTAAAGCCATTGCCCTTGTCCTATCCCTACATATCCTTGTAAGAAGTCCTATTCTGTGGTTTTTGTGAGCCCCCTTTCGGGGCAGGCTGATGTGATTTCCCTCCAGAGGGTTCTCTTTTCCAGGCTGAGCAGCCACAAGTCTCTCAGCCTGTCCTCATAGGTGAGGTGCTCCAGCCCTCTGATCATCTTCACGGCCTCCTCTGGACTCTCTCTTCATCCTTTTTACGATGGGAGCCCCAGAACTGGACAAAACATTCCAGGTGTTCCATTCTGCCCCTCTACTTCCCTCTTCCCTCAGTGTTCTGGTCACTCTTTCTTCGATGCAGTCCAGGCTGACTCCAAAGGCTGCAAGTGCACATTGCTGGTTTGTGTTGAGCTTCTCCTCAACGAACAGCCCAAGTCCCTCCACTTGGGGCTGCTCTCATTCTATTCTCTGTTCTACCTCCACCTGTGCTTGTGCTTGCCATGATCCAGGTTCAGTGCTTAGCACCTGGCCTTGCTGAACTGTGTGAGGTTTGCACAGGCTCACTTCTCAAGCCTGCCCAGGTCCCAGCTCCTGGGATGGCAACCCTTCCCTCCAGCATGTCAGTCACACCACACAGCTCGGTGTCACCGACAAACTTGCCAAAGAAGCCCTCGGTGCCACTGTCCGTGTCACTAAAAAGATGTTCAACAGCACTGGTCAAAATATTCTACTTGGACATTGAGCCATTGTCATTACGTGTGCAGTCAGTTTTTGTGCCAGTTTTCTTCCAAACACATTACTTTTATATTCCATTTAAGACTTAGGCAGAGTCTTTCTGTAGACAAGATACCATGAAGAGGAGTTCTTCACTCCATTATTACACAGGTCTTGCTCAAACTGAGATTTACCTACTCTTCCACTTTTGCAGCAGGCAAGAATATAATTAGATAAGTGAAGCTACTTGCAGAGGGTAGAACTGAACATCCAAGTTTAGGACAAGCACTGCTCTGCACAAACATGCCAATTGAAATAAGCACAATTAAATATGCAGTTGCATGTAATTAACAGTGCTAGGCTACACTTTACTTGACATGTCCATTCAAGTTTCTCTCAGTGATCCTTAAAAATAATGAGTCTATCCCACAGTACAGATCTAGAGCTACCTTTTCAACACAATGGGAAGATTTACTCCTTTTAAACTGCTGTTGTTATTTGGATTTAGGGGTTTCTCCTTCTCTCATGTAACTGATTTTGATAAAACTCATCTAACTTCTCATTAAAGACACCATCCCTCTCCCTGAACTCAGACCATGCTGACAGATGCTGGTAAAAATGAGCAGCACTCCTGACTGCCTCAAGTAAACTCTGTATTTGTCATTAGGCAAAACCTTGTGCGTATTGAGATTAAATATCATGATCTGAGCTACAAAATAACACAACAGCAGAAGGCTTTGACTATCTCTGAGTTGCTTGGTAAGTGAATGCTTAATATTTATTATTGATTAATAATTAATCTAAAAATAATATTTTTAAAAAAAAAACAGACAACAAACTCCCCCCTTTTTTAAAATTCTCCCACCTCCTGAATAAAAAACTATGTGGGCTTCTGAAAAAGAAGCACAATTTTTATATATAATAGTAATAATCATGTCTGTCTTGTGGTAATTTTTGATACAATCTCCTGTCATTCCACTAAAGAAGCCGTGGTATGGACAGCAGCTGAGAGTAAGAGTTAAGTTTGGCACTAGTTTATGGTTCTTCACAGACAGGACTGTAAGAACAGTGACATTTTGGGGATTTGGAGAGGAGAGGGAGAACATGGGAATGAGAAGCAAGGGGACAGCTAAAAGGGCATAGAAGTAGTAAATATTTTAATTATCTGTTTCACAGTAGGATGTCTTGTGTTGTACTTGCTTTATTTAGAATTTTCAAAAACACATTAGTCCTCTTCAGTAAACTTTCTTAAGAATATTAATGCTGTTTTCTTAAAGTGATGGATTATGTATATTGAATTTATGCAGCACTTGAGCCTGGCAGGGTTTTGTTTGCTTGCTAGACTAAACCAGATGCTTTGTATGACACATGTTTATTTCCCTCTATTACAGCTGATGTAGGTGGCCAGCTTGGATTGTTTTGTGGTGCCAGTATGATTACAATCATAGAACTCCTAGAGTATATTTTTACCAACTTCTGTTGGATGTGCATCTTTCTTCTTTTGAAAGCTCCTGAAATGCCTCAATGGAACAATCCATCCCAGAACCAACCAACGCAAAAGGGAAAAAAGAGGAGAATACAAGAATGTTAATGGCTTGTGGAAGTCTGGAACTAATTGGTTTTGCAAATTCCCTTTCTTTTTAAGACACAAAGGAGACTGTAATATTTTACACTGCTCTCCTTATTCTCCCTATTATTCCCTAAAATGATTTAACTGTGCTAAATAACTTTAAAGAGCGCATTTCACAAAGTCTCACTTTCCTTCTCATATAAAGAAAAATGTAATCTTTAACTTTGATTTAACAAATTAGGTTTTTTTTTTAAACATTATGGCAAGTGATGCTGACATATGATACAATTTAGCATTCATAACCCAGATTTTATCTTCTGTGTTTTGAGTGATGAGAAGTAATACACATGCCAATTTATCTCACAGAAATTTCTTGACTACCATAAACATGGAGCATTGCTATTTCTAAAATGCTGGTTCCTTATTAGCAACTCCTCTAGTATGTTATCATTGTATCATATTCCATTGAAGAATATGGTAACTTCACCTAGAACAATTAGGAATGTGCCTAATAGCAATAAAATTTACAATAGTACCTGTGTGAAACACATCAAAAAATCTCATCAGTCTGCCAGCTATTATGGAGAACAACAGGGCATCCAAGTGGATGGCAAGTGGGCAAACACAGGTCAAGTTCAGTGTTTAATGTCATGAAAGATGATAATAAAGGCTTCATCTAAGTCTTACTAAATATGAGTCAGTGTAAGAATTTTGTGGCTTTGGTACTGATTCAGGCTTCCTGAACATTTATTTCAGTGTTCAGAAAAGCTTCCATGATTTCCTGCATCCGTTTGGGCTCATAGAACAGTGGTGGTTTAGTCTTCCACTTGTTTAAGACTGCAATGATTAAATAAAGTAATAAGTGTATTTACTGAAGAGCCAAGTCCTTAAGGTCAGATATAAAGTAATGAAAATGCTACCACTTGACCATCATTGGCAATAGCTTCCCTTCAGCAAAAGTCCTAGGATTTGCAATTCAGGAAATAGAGGAAATGTTTTTGCTACCTAGAAAGAGTTCCTTTGATTTTTGTCCTCTAACCTTTTTTCTCAATTCTTATTTATTGGTCACTCCACTTCTACTGGGACTTTCCCCCCCTCACTGTTACCAAGCACAGGCACGTTTGGCTCAGCACTGCTATAAAAATTGTTCTAACCACACTGTTCAAGGTGTGAATTAGCCAACCCAGAGGAAGAATGGAAAGAACAGAGCAAACATACTGCAATATTTCTCCAAATACTTCCCCCAGCCTCAAACAGCTTCTAACTGTGGAATTCTCGAGCCAAAAGAAATTATAGGTTTGGAAGTAGAAACCAGGTATTATCTGACTTATGGAAAAAAAGAAAAGCAGGGTAAAGTTTAAACACAGTGATCAAGCACACCTTGTATTTCAGAGATCAAAGTGTTTTGTAGCTATCAATCACAATGATTTGTTTTGTTTGCTTCTATTAATAAGAGCTGAATAAAATAACATTAGTATTGTAAGGGCGAAAGAAAACAAAACTGGTATTGTTTCTGTCCAAAGGTTCACGTGAAAGGAGGCACAGAACATGCTAAAAAATCAGCCAAAAAAGCACCAGTTCCCAGAAAGGGAATGTACTGAAATCTTTGCTTTGTTTAACAAGACTAAAATGACTTTTGCTTACACCACTGACTTTGGACAAGGACAGCTGAAATCACAGCTTGGTTACAGATTCTTTTAACACACGTGGCAGAAGGAGTTCTGAAGAAGGCACAAAGACTTGTTTTGCCCAAGGTCAAGTGACAGACTTGGATGGGGTTTTTTTTCAGCAATGGTTTGTGATAAGATTATATAAAGCAATTGATTCCCCAGCACAGCTAAATTTAGCAAGTGTGCTGTGCAGCAGAGCAGAAGTAAGGGTGCTTTTGTATTTTGATGTATGACTACTCCTCTATTATGGCAATAGGATTTTAAAAAGTGTTAAAGAAAATGTCTGGCTTTACTGACTGGGTGACAATGTCATATTTGTAATGACAGCAGAAGCAGGGTATTTTAACAGTTTGATCAGATCATCTCCTACTTTAGCATGACTTTGTCGCTTATTTATTCAGTTTTCCTTTTCACAAGCGCACATCCATGCTCCAAGAAAACATACTGGCAAGCTTTTCCCATAGCAATTGATTCTAAAATGGTAGTCTTAACAAAGAAATTAGTTTATATGATTGGAATAGCTCCCTTAAGCTTCTCTCAAGTCTTTTTCTAACGTGCAATATAGAATTTTGTAAAAAAAAATTAAAAATACATTTTAGAATGCATTCTGTAGAAGCCATTAAACTTTAATGCTGTAGAGAATCTCAGACTCTTGCATACATTTTCTGAAGAACCAAGGAAAGAAATTTAGTTACATGGATAATGACCTGTGTTTGGGAGCTCTGGATTTTATAGAGTGGTGTCACATTCACTTATGAATTTTATAAGTATTTTTCATAGAGTATTGTTTATACATAGAGTATTATTTATACATAGTATTCATTTTCACCTGAGTTCCTGGTATGAGGAAGACAGACTTGATACTATCAGAGAACTTTCCATCAGAGAATGGGATGGGGGAAAGTTGGGGATAGCTAAAGACATGAATCACACCTTTTGACAAGTTTTTTAGCTCATTTCCCTTTTTCTAACTGTCTCACAATACTACTATTGCAATGTACATGGCAGCCATCTCTAAAGGAGTGCTAGAAAGTAAGGAATTATTCAAGAAAAAATTTTATTTTTTCCCAGAGTTCAGGAAACAGGTCTGGCACTTGCTTATTTGGCACAGCAAAATGTAGAATGTACAGAACGGCGTGTACAGAAGGATTTGGAGCAGACTCTCATGGCGTAGATGAATTCACTGCAACATTTCACCAGTAGATGCCTCACTTACCTTAGGCTGCTGTTCACAAGGCTCCTCTTGCACAGTTGATTCCTCAGCACTTCTTGGAGAATTTCTCAGAGTAGCTGAAGTCAGATTGTTTCCCTCTGGTTAATGAGGTATCAGCTGGGGAAATATTTCAAAGGAGCTCCTGACAAACCTGCCATTAATTAGACCTGCCATTATTTAAGAGACATCATCTTTGCAGCACTATGTTTAGATGGATTTCTGAGGAAAACAAACAAAAAAAGTACACAGCCATCCCCACTCTGCATCAAAATAACCTACCAAAGCATTTCTTAAGGAGCTTAAACATGCCAGCTGATCTAATGTTGCTTAAGAAAGTGTTGGTTAAGGTAAAATAATTATCCTCACCAACTACTTTAAGCTGAAACTATGAGGAGGGGGAGGAGGATTATTTCCCTATATAATCACTCAAGTTTGAAGGCAGTTAGCTGTGCCTACACCCTACCCCAATTACAAGTGATTGCACTGTGTGTGAATCTCGTGCTGGCAAACCTTCAGAAAAGAACTCTTCCTCACCTGAGTAGTACTCATGTCAGCATGAAAGCCAAGTTTCTTACAAATAAACATTGCCTCACAGTTGTTCAGTATTTTGGAAATCCAAACATGATCATGCAATTCTAAAACCTCCCAGACCAACATAAACCATATTGTTTCACTCACACTGTCTCTCAAAGTATGAAGCACTTCCAGAACTTCATACTTCTGTACACAGAAGTGAGTATCCCTTATTAGGCTATAAACATTAGTAAAGCTTGTCATACTAACTGTATCCAGAGTTAAACACATTTTTGTGTTGGCAGTCAGCGTGCTCAATAAACTCAGGATACAGGAAATATTTCCAACTTCGTACCATATTAATTACTTGTGCAACGTTGAAACATGACAGGGTTATAAATGATAAATTCTGTATGGTGAGGGTACTGCTGCAGATCCAGGGTTAGCATCACATCTTGTTCATGTTGCTTATGGCCATCCTGCGCTGTTAACCCTCTTGCACTCTGTCCCTTCATCCAGCAGGAGATGCTCACCTCTGTTCACTCCTCACTGAAAGCAGTCACCACAAGAAGGAAAGCTTCTTTAGAACACAAAAACTTCCAAATGGCTCTTCCCACTACACACACAATTGATGTTTAAACAGGGAACACCCACGCATCTCTTGTCTCAGGACAGAAATGCCCAAGATGGTGGGGTTTTGTGGTTTTTGGTTTGAGTATTTTTTAGCATCTTTTGGGATCAGAACTACTTCCACAAAACTAGGAGAAAGAGGTTCACACATGCAGCTATTCTTTCTCGTGTGAAATTCTAGAACACTTCTATCTCCAGAGAAGAATGTCATTTTGCAACAGGAAGCCTGCTTAAATGCATATCTAGTTTTGCCTTCCTAATTCTTGGGGGTTACTTTCAAAGAAATAACCCTGAGCTTTAGAAAATTTAGTACCACTTCCAGTACACTTAAAGGTCCTTAATGGAAAGGCTGATAGCCCATATTTGTTAGTATTTCTGCCTATTTTGTGACACTCAAAGCCACTCTTCCCTTAGCCAGTCATTTTGAGTTAAAGAGATGAACACTAAATAAACACAGGTTGTGTCCCTTGTGGATCTCAAATCTCAGCACAGCATTGAGTTCCCTTATCTCATTCTACCTATTTAAGAACTTGGCAAACAGGTGTGCAAGGCAGGATTGATGATTAGACACTTGACCATTCCTGCTACACCCCTGACACACTGTGTATCAGCTGAAGATAAGAAATAGGAACAGTTACAACAAGGAATGCTCTCATGCACAAGCTGTAAAAAACGTGGGTTTGTCAGGGCTGCACACACACCACAGAACATGCAAAAACAGTTCATTAAAAATGAAAATTTTCTTCTGGTGTTTTTCAACTGAACCCATATGCCTCCCACAACAATGACTCATTTCTTATGCAGTTTCCGTAACTGATACTCCCAATAACTTTAGCTAAGAATTTTAATATAACCCTTTTGCCTGGGGTAACCAACAGGTCTTTGTGTACAGGAAATACAAAGAGAACATCAAAACTTAGAAAGCCTACTGTGAATCCTCCCTAATAGGACTAGCCCAGGAATATTTTCCTGTTGGTCACCTGGCCTGCTACATGTTTAATCCTGAATTGCACCTAAACGTTTCTAGCCCCATTGTGTAGGACTCATATTACATGCTACACACTTTGATCCAGAGTTCAGCAGAAATTTTCCAGCCTTAAAATGCCAACAACTTCAGACCATGCCCACGTAAATATACTGTTCACTTCACTTATAGATTGCACATGCTCTAGTCTGGAAGTGCTGCATCACATCTTCATCTTCTCCTGCAATCTGAATAAGTGGAATTTTCTGAGGCTGTTTTACTCCAAACATCTAAGCAATGTATGAATAAAAATGGCAAACAATCTCATACATGAAACAAACTAGGTATGAGAAAAAAAGCCCTGTTTAACTGGAGAAACATCACAAAAGTCTGTTTTAAAACTAATTATAAGAAGCTGCTCACTGTTTAAACATGGAAGTCAAGCAAACAGTAACAAGTAGGAGGAAAAATTTTTTTAAAGTCCATACTGTTACTAAGAGACCTACATAATTCTAAAAAAAATACCTGAGAGAAGTGAAGTCATAGAGTGCATTACAGCACCAGATTTTAGAGAGTTCATTTTTCCTCAAGTGTAAGTTGCTCCTTGTTTTTTTTTTCCCAGTATTCCAGTTCAGACAAGGACTCTGCTGTGTGAAGTACCTCACAGACCCTGCTCCAAAGAAAACTGTAAGGCACCTGGTTTTCTCCTCAATTCAAGCACATGTGTGTTTGGGAAGCCACTTTACATGGTCACATAAGAAAGTGTGGTTAGGCAGGCAATGGTAACTACCTTTTCTCTCATTCTTACTTATTGCGCAGAAAATTTAAATGTCTCAAAACAAATGGCCTCAATAGCAAGCAGAGAACAGCAAGAGCACTGTCGTGTGATAGACATGACTTTTCCCGAGCCTCCCTTGTGAAGGCAAAGAGGTTTTGTACCTGGTGTATGAAGAAGGGTGGAGAAACAATGCTTTTGAGTTATGTGGACAGAGCAACTTCCTGTCACCCAGTTGCTTTGATGACATCTTTGGGTTTGCTCCAGAAAATACTCACCCACGTAGGCTCTGCTGGTGACACTTGCAAATACTGCATTATGAGGTTTACATCTATATTTGGAAACAATCTATTTATTCTTTATTGCTGACACATGGCTGAAATCCCACTGGCTGGCATTGCCAGTTTCTACAGACTCCATAGGAGGTTTTTAGTACAATAAGCCAATAAGAAAATATTGCCAGAAAACTCTGTCTGGAAATCAAGAACATTTTTAGCAAATTAGTAATGGTAATCAATTCCAAAGATGCATCCAAGAGTGAAAACCATCTCTTTAGGGAAGAGGAAGGAGTAGGTTCCAATTGAAGAAGAGAGAATTTCTCATGATGGTATAGCTCATATCTCTAAGGAAAATCAGGAGAGTTGAGGATTCAAACAGTTGCTGTGCTAAGGGAAATGCTAGACTTTTGCTTTCTCAACCTCTGTGTCTTTCATAATGCCCAACAGGAAATAAACCTTCTAAAGGTATAATCTTCTACTGAATGTGCACCCAGCAATGGAATTCAGCTCTTAAGCTCCATTAATTAACCCCTACATAAAACACTCAACACATTCCCACAGTGTAAAGTCAAAAAATATAGTTCTGAATTCAGCTGCATAATTCTGACATTTTTGCCTTAATAAAGAATATAAACAAGTCCACAAAGTGATCAGTAGTTTACATGATATCAAGATCAGACCCAGGATGCCCTGTAATGAAAATATGCAATAGCTACTTATCGATATGAATGTCATTAACAACAAACTATACAATAGTGGTTAAAGCTAGCAAAATTCTCCAGGATTACATCAGGGACAAAGTTTGACTACTTTTTTTTTCCAGTCTCCCCATCTTAATTTATAAATACTATGTTACTCAAAAGCATTTTACCTTTAAATAATCAGCAGAAAGAGGTTGAGGGTTAATTTCTGAGATTGCTCAGCAATCAGCTGAACAGAATGGCTCTCCTGCTGAGAAAGCTACAAGTGAAATGGATTTCTAGCATGTATTCTGAATGCATGCATTTGGTTTTTTATTACTAAGAGCAGGTTGATGAAATAAAGCATATACAGGACTTGGTAATTAAAATGAATGCACACTTCACATGCATCAATAGATGAGTATTTGCCCTAAGGAGGTGAAGGACAGCAGAACAGAAAACAGATGGCAGGCAGCTCTCAGATCCATAAGCCAAAACATCTATTTTGGCCATGCTTACAGAATCTTAGTGCCCAAATTCTGTCCCTCCTTTTCTTGTTAAAAGTGGAAAAGGAGCAACATTGCCTGGTACTGTTGTTTCTCTGGATGCTGATGGAAGATAAAGTCCTCAGCAAGGTCTTGGGTCTCCAGCACCTTACCCAGGTCCCCTGCACCCAGAGAGCCTCACTGCCTCTGCTCCAGGGCAAGGCAGGTGCATCCCAAATGCTGCTGCTTGTGCAAGTGTCCAGACAAGAAGAGAAGCCCAAATGAGGCCTGGTGCTCGGGAAGCAACAAGTCTCCTTTTCTTCACCCTCCTGATTATCTGCTCCACCTGCCCCTGCAGGAAGGAAAGAAGCAGAGTTGAAAAAGCCTTGGCAGTGCTTAAATTTATTGCCTGACTAATCTGTGTGCTGGTGGGTGGGGACTATTCCTTTCACAGCCTAATTTTCCACTCAGAATCCTTTTCCACTGATTACTACTAATTTTTTTTGCACCAAGCTGTGCACTGATAGAATTCATCCACTTGTGTATCAGCCAGAATAAAGCTGCTTTTTGTTTTTCCACAAGCAGGGAGCTTTCCTGCTTGTTTTTTGTTTAGGAGCAGGAGATGTTCCAACCTGACCTAGTGACTGCAATTAGAAACTCTAATGACCTGTGAATGTTTTTAAGCATTGACTGAGCAAGTAAAACAGCTCTGATAAATGCAACCCAAAGTTCAAATCTGCATAACTGAGATGCATAGAAGGGGAAATGTTACAGAAACAGATGAAGGAAAGAAGCAAAGACTTTAACATCAGTCCTTCCAGTCCGCATCCTCATAATTAACAATGGAAGTAGCTTGAAGGCTGCAGAACAGAATAAAAGCAGATGCAGGGAATTTTGGCATACTCCAGGTATAAGCAACAGCCTGGAAATAATATATTAGTTCTTCCTGATTTGCAAGTACTTTTATTCCTGCCTTCAATTCAGAGACACTTTCAGTAGCACTTGTCTCAACAGAAATTTTCCTGTGTATTTACCAGAGAGCTGTAGAGAAAATGAACATAAGGAACAGAAAGAGATGTGTAAAATGGCCTACTCTGCATCAGGAGTGACACTGTAGGTCAGCAGGAAGTCCTATCAGAAAAGTGAGTACTCTACAACAGAAGCTAGTCCTAAAGTGCTGACAAGTTCTTTCAAATACTTAATTAACAGACCAGATAAATTTTTTTTTTGCAGCAGTGTTACAACTGCCATGGGCCTTCACATTCATGGGGACAATAAAATCAGTAATGCAAACAGAAATAACCCAAAAATCTTTGTATGAGAAACTACACATGAATGAAGAATTTGAATGTTTAGAAAGACCTGTCAATGCAGCATCTTTGCCTTGTAATTTTTAAATAGTTTAAACAAACTATCTCACAAATATGACCTCCTATGATGGAACAACTTTAAGTTATTTGTAGGATGCTTTCCTTCTAAGAGCCTCATGTAAATGCAGCTATAGGAATGCTGGGTTCTGCTTGGGCAAAGTTGAACTTCTTTTCTTGAACAACACTGTTGTTACATAATCCTTACCAAAATGTTACCAAAGATCCGTGCCATTGTAACTGTCTTATGTTAGATGTTGGAATATTATATCTTCATATAAAATTGTAGCTTATGTTACCTGCTTTTACACATGAGCGATGTTCCAATTCAAAGTACTGATACATCCATCAGAGACACAACATTTGATTTGTGTATTCCTGAACTAAAATCTAATGAGCTACATGATGTATGGGGTTTGGGTAGTATCAATAGCACCAGTAATAGATGAAACAACCACAAATATTGGACTGACTTCTGAAGTCCAAAGCAGAGTCAGCAGTCAAGAAGGAAAAGGCTTTTGATTTTCTTCAGGGTGCCAGGGGCAGTCAAGAGTAAGGTGAAAATTTAGCACTTAGTAAAAACAAAACCAATGAACTAAAAGGATGGACAGTGCTCCTTGACAGCCATGCAGCATGGTTTGGAAAATAAGGTTCAAGTGAAAAACTGAGATTGAGTCATTCATAAAGATAGAAATGTTATCATTAACCCCAGCCCTTTTGCACAGATAGCCTCTCCTTTCAGACTTATAAAATGCACAATGGAAAGAAGCAATTGCTTTCAAAACCAAATACTTATCTGTATAAACAAAATTGATCTTTCTTTTCTTCCAGTGATGAAAGCAGCACAGTAGTTATTTCCATGGTGTTCCTTTGGAGAATTGAGAACTTCAGGAAAGCAAATTCTTCCAACAGCTGCCAACTTTAGAACTTGCAGTCTGTACACCACTCATTATACTCTATGCAAGAGCATGCAGCACTCAAATATGTGTGTCTGTGTATATACACATGGTATCTATGAAGCCTGAAGTGTAGGATGATGTGGGAATGACTGTGCGAAAAGGTATGAATCCTTATTTTGTGGGCAAGTTTCTTATCCTCTAGATCATTACAAAATTGCCCAGAATCGCATATATAATGTGACAGAAAGTGGGGCTTGGATTTCTTGTACAGGTAGTTGAAGCTCTGAATGCTTCACTATGCCCTCTGTGGAAAAAGAATACTTACACTTCAATCTCCTTATATAAGGGTTTTTGGTTTTTTTTAAATAGGTTGTTTCTGAACACTTTGTGTAGGAAAGCTTACATTTATTAAGTTGACTTGCACAAAATATCTGAAAATAACAGGCATAACAAGCTGTATTTTCTTTCCAGGAACGTTAGACCCAGTATTTAGGACTTGTAAGAAATAGATGTCCATTTCTTCACCTAATACACTGCATATTTCAGTGTGATTTATGAAAGTGGTTTATTTTTCATACACTGCATTACAGCACTGTGCTCACACTGACACAGGGGCTGACGACAGCAATACTGAACTCAGTTTTACTCCTTATCTGAAAACTATGAACTTTTCGTTTTTGTGGGAGGTATTATTTGGTTTTATTTTTAAACAAAGGCTCAAGGACTACTGGCTTAATTGGTCTCCAGTTCAGGATTATGATTAACACCTGCTAGGAAGTGTGAACATTTTTAGCGGTTTGCTGGGGCTCAGCTAAGTTCTGTCATTTTAATCACAAGTCAGTTTTTAGAGCACTAGACAGGACACCACATTTATCAAAGTGTAAAATCAGTTGTTAAAGGCCAGAATGACCCTGACAACCCACAATACAAAAAGGCACACAGGTTCCTGCCAGAGCTGCCTAGCATACAAACAGATAGAGCCTCAGCCCACAAAACTGCTAAACTTGAAAGCACAGCTGCTCTGTGGTGTTAAATCTGTATTAGGTAATCACCTCTGGAAAACAATGCCAATGTGAATGCTGCATGTGGGAAACAGTCTGGGACAAAACCCTTACAAACAGAGATCCCACATCTTCATCCCAGAATAATAATCAAAATATTGTTTTCACATTCCACTCTTGTAATTATCTCCAAACAGTTATATTGGCAAAAAGACCCGTTGATTATGATGAAACTGAACATTAGCCTTTTCCTGTTAATAACAAAGAATTAATTGGTAGAGACAGCATGTGTTGTTGCAGTTTTTCCAAAGTCTCACCCAAAGTCAGACAGACAGTAGAAAAAAACTCAGTGCTTCGTATACGTGCAGCTATGGATTGGGGAATGGAACCTCTTTTTGTTCTTTTTTTTGTTTTATTCTGGTTTTGGGGTTTTTTGTTGTTTTTGTGTTTATGGGGTTTTTTTGCAGTTACATTAGCACAGCTTTGTTTACTAGCTCATTACTTGCTCCCCTTCCCATGGTCAGGTCGGTGCATGAAATAACAAGAGTTTCAGACTGTATCCAGGAAAGAAAGGATCCTGTTATAATGAGAAATAAAACCTTGTTAAAATAAAACAGGACTATAAGTCCAGTCACTTCCCTTTACTTCTGCTATGATAAGCCAACACAGTGACTGGCAGAATTAATTTATAATTGCCCAAAACATCCCATTTGAACCAGTATGCTGACTGCCTAGAGTACATGAATACTACATTCTCTTCAAGTTTTCACAGTGCTAGAATCTCATGACCCAACTTTTTTTTTTTTTAATAGTATGTGATGGCTCTAGAAATGCATGGAATAACCATTTTACAGTTTGTGACAATACAGTAAAGTGTTGACCTGTCTACATGGTGAATGAAAAACACATTTTAGGATACAGATGCCTCAGACCTTTCTCTGGCTCCATGGAGAGAGGTGTTGCTGACAGGGCCATAGACATTGCAGAGTACAAGAATGTACATTGTAGTGCACAACTGCCTGCAGCTCACTCATTGATTAGCTTTAGATTTTACTAGAGGTTTGTTCAAAGCAAAGGTTCTGGGGCCTCCAGCACCACCCATTCATATCAGATGCTAGCACATCCCATCCTGTTTCCTTCTTGTGCCTATGATTGTCTTTCAAAAGTGAGCTTGGAACCAATCAGATATATTTGCACTACCATCTCAAACACTGTAACCAAGTAATAAAAAAAAAATCTCACATAACCTTATCAGTTTTGTCTTCATGTGTCCCTCCTGGAGGATTGCCTTTACAGAGAATCCTGGTTTGGAAAACAACTCTTAAGACCATCAAGTCCAACTGTTAACTTAGCACTGCTGTGTTCACTGCTAAACCACATTCCCAAGTGCTGCCTCTATTTGCCTTTTGAACACTTCCAGGGATGGTGATTCCACCACATGCTAGGGCAGCCCGTTCCAGTGCCTGACTACCCTTTCACTAAAGACATTTTTGCGATAATCCTGTAAGCAGATATCCAAATGAGTATCTCATCCATTGTTTATCATTCTGTTAAAAAAAAAATCAAACATGAAGTTATGTCCCCAGAGGTTGCTCCTACCAAGGACTGGCCCAGCAGTTTGGAAGCCAACTGCAGTGCCCACTTTATGACAGCAGTAGAGGCACAGAGCCCCCTGCACAGTCAAAGCACAAACACCACTGAAAATCATTTTCCCTTGCCTGTCTGATTTCACAGGAATGCATAAGATCCAGGAGATTCCAAACAACTAAGCATTCCATAATTTGCAGTTTTGTGGCTGATCTCCCCTTTTTTCTCCTTGTTCTAGTTTTTCTATTTTAAACAAAAAATACCAGAATAAAATACATTTATAAAGACCTTTGAAACAGACTTTGATTATTACTCTGCCTCATGTTTTAGCTAGAGAGCCTCTATTGAAAAAGCAAATCATTATAGTTAAATAAAAGAGGCAGTAGAACACACATAAAAGAACTAAATAGCTGCAGAAATGTTTAACTGTTAACTGAGAGTAATATTTAACCAAATGGTACATTTAGTAGTTGAATGCAACATTTAAGTGGAGATCAGTTTTAGTAACAGAAGTGGCTAAGTGCCCAAACTGTACTGAGATAAAAACCTCTTACATGAACACAATATGAGTTATTATTCTATGCTTTAAGAAATTTCAAAATTTTAAAGCTCCCATAAGCTTTAAATGTTATGTTACAAGGTAGCTTAATGGGAGCTTTAATATTTTGAAATTATTAAGAAGATACAATATAAACCCAGAGCATTATTTAAGTTTTCTGGCATGCCATCTTCCACCAGCTTAAAGTGTGATACAGAACTTCATTTTCTTCAGAACCATTTGCATATGAGTTATATCAATATACAACCACAGCTGTCACAAATTCCATGTCTTTCAAAGGCACCATAAAGTTTTTGTAAGCTTGAACAACTTGATCAGTCCACATTGCTGCTGTGGACCTATCTGAGAGAGGGCAACCTCTGATGATGTCTTGGGGTGTGTTGCTGTCCAGCAGTGAGATGATGCAGAAGAAAATATGAGGTTTCCTCCCTTGATTTCCCATTCCTAAAGCTTGGATTGCTAATGCACCTCCTGCTCAATCATACAGCTATAATGTTTGATTGTTAAATACTGCCCAAGGGTTTCAAATGAAGGTTTTATAAATTTTTGTCACCTCATCTACTGTTTTTGAAGCATCAACCTCAACATTCTGAACACTACTTTAATTTGAGTATGTGATCCATTAACGTGAATATGTGAGACATTTGGACATTTGCAAACACTGGAACAATGCCTCAACAATTTATTTAAATATGAACTGCAAATTATGGAATGGAGAAAATACTTTTTTTTGTATCAAGCAACGAAATAAAGTTTTCTGCCAAAAGAAAATCACAAGATTTCTAGAAGTCCGTGGAAAAAATAATTTATTGCAATTTCTTTTGCACATTAACATGAAACATTTATACATATATATTCTGTGCTAATAAGATATACTAGATATAGACAATTTTTATACACAAGGTAATTGCACTATTCTATTTTATAATGCAAATATTCAGAAATGATCAGTCAGATAAGAACAGATACTATTCACATAAAAATGCACTATATATTAAAGTTATGGAAGGTCTATGCATCTGAAAACTTGTCCACTTTTACTAACTGTGTCATATGATGAAACACACTATGACCCTTCCCAAGCTTTACATCCCTTAATTATGTCATGATGCCTAGAATATTACCAGGTCCTCTCAAGGAATAAAATAAGATCATTTCTGAAATTAGAGAGACCAAACCAAAAGGCAACTGTATCAACCATGTACCAGCAGCATGCCTTCCAACTCCAGGGGCTACATCAGATGAGAATCAATGCACTATGAGTTGTCTAAAATTGTCCAGCAATCTATTACTAATATGACAATTTAATTTAGTTTATATAAATCAATGAGAAATACATTGCAAGTGAACAGCATTTCAGTAGAAGTACATTGGCACATGCTTCAAATGGCAGTATCAGAAAAACAGCTGCCCCCTCCCAATACAGAAGATGTTTACAGTGTCCACAAAGGGAAAATGCAGGATGATATCACATGAGAAACCTTTTTTTAACCAGGAGTTTACAGAGCATCAAGTGTTATTCACAAAATGAATGAGAAGCATGGTAATAGCAGAATTAAATGTGATACCATATATGCAATAATTTTCATAATGCTGCTTTAAGTTTTTTTTTTTTAATATAATTCCTTAGGTTCACTGTCCTGCCTATCAACTGAAATACCTATCTTTCAAGAAATATCATCAATTCACATAACCACAGTACTTCAGAGATGAAGATGAAGATGTGAAGCATCAGATTGAAGTGGTTAGCTGTGGCGTGCATACTACATGGTTTCATTCAATATTATCTGGTGGTAGGAATGGTCACATGACAGACATGCAAAAATGCATATCAAAAAAAGGAAAGCTTGAAATACATGCTCATAGCAGAGGTATAACCAAACAATAAGGACAAAAAATTAGCAAGCAAGCCTGGAGAAAAATGGTAAGTATGAATTCAGGAGTAGGGCAAAGACAATGGTATTGCACATGGCAATGGGAGATATAATGTGAAAGAACATCCATAACATAACCTTACTGCCTGCACCCTACTTGGAGACAGCATTGCACCACATTCAGCATCCTCTTCCTCTTCCCTCAGCTCAGAAAGCATCTTGCTTTGTTTCCTTGAGAGCATGCAAACAGAATTTGAGAAGTAAGGAATTTTCTTTGAAGCAACAACATGGTGGGTTAATGCAGTGACAAAATACATTTTACAACTTGCAACCAGTATCAGTAAATAGTAAAAACTAAAAAAAAACCCAAAAACGCATATGTAATGCATGTATTTCTTCCATATGTATTGTATGTAGGAATGAAACAATTCCTACATGTCCTGGTGAACTACCAGCTCTGCCTGAGATATTTCAATTTGTTCCCACCAGTAATGTGGGAACAGGGCAGAAGAGAAAGATATTAAAAACTGGAGAGGGAGTAAAATTGCAGTCATACATCTGAAGCTCTTGGCAAGATTTATTTTTTACAACAAATCTGTTTCTCAAGAAACTTCAGCTGAACCTCTGTTAAAATAATGAAGCCAGCAATAATTAATCTTACGCAAACAAGCAGATGCAAAGTGATTAATTTGTCACAGTTGCTTTGTTGTATTTGTATTTCTGTTGCAATTCTACTTAGTGCTGTACTGGTATCATGGAAGAGATATTAGAGAAAAAAGGTGAAGGAGCAGCACTCCAAACCAACACTTATTTTTATAAATTAGGTCTTTCTAAGAAGTAACTGCTGCTCATGGGGACTGATATTACAGAAATCAACCCAGGAATCAAATCTGAGGCATGCTGAACTGCTTCAACCCTATCATTTTCTACTGGCCCAGTACAGAAACAGTGTATTTTTAGCTTTGTTTTCACATCTCTTATGGCATCTGTGAACATTTTGTCCTTTTTCCTCACCATGTTCTTATTACTGGTCTTCAGAGTAAAATATGCTGATAGATATGAAATGCTGAGTTAATAACTCTCCACTGAATATAATGAAAAGAAAAACACATCACTAATGTGCATCAATCCTAGACTGAAGATACTGCAGGTAGAAAACTTCACAGTAAAAGCATAATTAGCAGAAGTGTCTTCAGGATGATTCAAGAAACATTTTCATGCTTGCTTCTATATGCCACTTCTTGCAATATCCTGCAGTGATCTTTCAGGAAGTTTACCATATAGTTTCTGAATATATTTAAACATGCTCTTATTTATTGTCATCTACAGTCCCCCTGTACATAACAATAAACAGCACTGCACAAAATAATACATTAGCATTCTGCAAAAAATTCTGGAAAGGAAACCAAGACTACATGTGTGCATAAAGCAAAGTGATTACTTTAAAGTGATCAAACATAAAGATGGTTATCTGATTTTTGCTTTTGGTTTAAAGCAATTATGCACAGTCTATAAAGTGCCAGAAAAAAACATGAAGAGTATGTTCACAGGAGAAATAGTTCAGATAATCTTAAAGGAATAAAATTTTGTGCATTTTTTGTGTATGGACGTAAGAAATTGTGCAGGCAGTGGAAAAGAATCAAAAGGTTAGAGGAACATATTCTTTCACTTTTCAAAATCACTTCTGACAAAATGATTATCAGTTCACCACATCAGTGTATATTTCTATTCTCCTATGCTCCCAAACTTAGTACAATTTAGAAGAGATACCTGTCTTGGGAGAAGTCCTTCTGTCTCTAAGAATTACATCTCTATCTGAATTTCAGAATTAATAAAAACTAACAAAATTAGAAAGGCTTTTTCAGTGTGCTTAAACTGTGAGTCCTAAATGCTCCTGAAAATCAGGCTCACAATATTTCTCAGTCAGGTTTATTCCTGCCCCCATGTGTCCCTCTACAAAGCTCCATTACTGGATAATAGTATCAGCAAGTGTCTCTCAGGACTGCTGTGAGGATTAACAAAACCACCTGTTGTTCAATATCTCTCAGTCTTAAACTACCTGAACCTTTCATACTAAAGATATGTTAGGCTAAAACAAGGAAAATACTCATCTGACTCAGTAACTCTCTAAAATTTACATTTAAAATTATAATGTGTCTTGAAACAAATGATAGGACATTTATAAGGCAGAAAAAAAGTGAAAGGTGTTTAATTAAAATGTATTTTAAATACAGATTTTAAATAATGGTAGCCATGAGAAGTTATCTTACTGTAGAATAAGAATAGAAAAGTATTCTCAAAAGTGGCATCCACAATATAATTGTAAATAATATAAATTCAAATACAGAATGAAAATGCAGAGCTAAAGTACAGAGGGTTAATACTGGGAGTTACCATTAAAAAGTCAATATTCATATACTTGGGTACCAGTGGTAATAAATCTGGATTAGATCTCCTAAAAAGCCTAAACAGTTTAAGAGCCTAAATTACACTTTCAGAAGTACATGAGCATTCAGACACATAATTAATTTCCTCTGACTTACAAGAATTATTTCAGCCAAGGTGACTGATGACTTTCATTATTTTAGTCAAGGGTGTTTTTAAGTTTAAATACATAGTAGAAAACTCATTCCTTTTATATTGCTTCAGGGCAAAATTCAAGCTATGTAAATTACTTTTATCTTTTTTTTTCTTCCTGTTGACATATTGGATGGATTGTATGCACCTGCTCAGCTATGGCAAAGCAGCTGGCATACTGTAGCCTCATTGTCTAAGTCTGTACCACACTTTCAGTCTAGATCTCATTGGCTTTTACTGAAATTCTGGATAATACATGCCCAGAATTCTGAAACTGAGACATAAGCTTAAAGGTCCCTCAGTTCTTGAAGAGCTCTACCCCACCTCATTTTGAGAAGACAACTTAGGCTGATATGTCATTTACAAAAACTAGTTTACACCCTGTGTATTTCTAAAGCAGGACCTCTGCCATGCAGCAGTGTCTGAACAAGCAGGGGCCATCTGGAGTTAAGAGACCACCACACACATCAGGTGTGAACCTGCTTGCAAACAGTTGCTTGACTATTGCCTAAAGATTTGAAAGCACATTTTTTCACTCACTGCAAGAAAGCAAATGGCAAATTTTGAAGTGCTGGTAACCAGACATGTCAGCTAAACAGAAACCGACATTATATTGCAAAATCTAGTACAGTGCAGAAATCTGTAAGAGGGAGATATAAATATTTAAACACTTGGCATTCCCTCAAGGACTTTTTGAAATCAAAAGTACTCTTTCAGGAACTGCACAAACTGCAAAGACAAATAATCAAGTATTTTCAAGTACTGTCAAGATAATAAATGTGTTAATGAAAGAGTGTTGCACAAAAGTCATCATTTTTTTCTGTGGAACATTTGGTTTTGCAAATGTAAATGTATCTCCATGGTTTAGATTAAATTTTTAATGTTTATGTTTGGAAAAAAACAAAATTACACTCCAGTTACTCATACCTCTGTCTCTGTACTCTTTCTGGACAAAAACCAAACCTGCATTGGTTCTTTTTTGCCCTTCATAGAAACTGGACCTCTGTACTCCAGGTGGAACTGAGGATCTGAATTTTCTGGTGTCATAAGACACCTGAAATTGAAAGAGAAAACATGTAAATGAATGGACTTTGCATGCATGCCACACACTATGCAATATATTAAACATGCTACATGTATGTGAGCAGACTATCAAAAGATTCAACTCCATCTCTACATCACTATTATACTTGCAGACCAGTAACTGTGTACCATAATGCAGTTTGCCATACAGATCCAAGAGAAGTCACAGACTTAAATAATGGTTGCATGAGGACTGTCACTTTCAACTCCAAAAAACGTTTATGGTATGCTGACAAAGTGATTTATTTTAAGATGCCAATACCAATAAAAATAGTACATCACTCACCTGTAAGTATATTCAGAGACATTGATCTTTCCCTTTTCTCCAGTAGTTTCTGTTCTGCTTGTAAGATTGACTGTATTTCCAAAGAGACAGTACCGTGGCATCCTTTGACCTATGACACCTGTGACTACCTCACCAGTATGGATTCCTATGGTTATCTTTAGAGAGAAAAAATTAAGTCTCAATATTCAAAAGTAACATAATTAATCTGATGCCTCTGACTAAACACAGGCAACATGCCACTCGTATCTACTAGAGTTTATTTTCCCAAAATGCTACTCCTGCTTCTTCAAAGCCTTGCATTTTGTGGGTTTTATAACTTCTTTGTTTTTTATCTTTAGTACAGTGTCATGCCTCTGCCTTCCACATGAACAATCAAACTCTGTAATTTTCCAGCATCCACCCTGCTGTAATTATGTACTGTGAAAATAAAGCGGTGAGCAGAGAGGCATACTCTGCAGGTCTGTGCTTAACGACTGCTCAGAAGGTGCAGAAAAGGAAGGCAT